AAGGAGATGGGTATCCAGGGCAGCCATGGGTCCCCTGCCCTGAGCAGCCAGCCCCTGATGTCTGCAGAAAGCGCCTGTCCTGTGACTGGACAGCCCAGCCCCTCCCACCTGCTGCAGACCAGCTCTCAGCCCCGCCTGCCCTCAGCCCCGCCCCCTCAGCCCCGCCCTCTCAGCCCCGCCCCTGAGCATGGCGCTCCACTCACCCCCCTTCCCTCTCTGCTCCACTCCAGCCCCTAAGCGGGGGGACCCCAAAGAGGCATTTCCCTTGAGGGACTTCCTTTGGAGGCTACCCTGTGCGAGCTGCGTCCTGGGGGACCCAGTCAAACACAGAGACCCTGCAAACAGGTCGAACAAGAGGCAGGACCACCCAGAGTGGGGTGACATCCTGGGGACTGAACGGGGAAGGGTGAAAGAGCTTTGCGGGGGGCGGGGCAGCCTCTCCTGGGGAAGTGAGGTTGAAGCTGAATCCCAGAGGGAACAAGGGGCGGTCGGGGATCATGCATGGCCCTGAGCCGGGCATAGGGGTGGGGCAAGCAGGGAGATGGGTGTCATGGAGCGGGTGTGGGCTGGTGAAGCCCCATCTACAGCGGAAGCTACTAAAGGGTCTTAAGCAGGAGAGAGACGATGTGCCCCCCAGAGATGGCCCTGGCTGCTGCTGTGCAGACCTCCCGACTCCCTGCTGCCTGCATCCCCACCCCCTTCCTCCCCAGGTCCCTCCCGCGCCCCCACCCCCCTCCTTCCCAGGTTCCTCCCGCACCCCCACCCCCTTCCTCCCCAGGTCCCTCCCGCACCCCCACCCCCCTCCTCCCCAGGTCCCTCCCGCGCCCCCACCCCCCTCTCCCAGTCCCTCAGCCACCCCCACCCCCTCCTCCCAGGTCCCTCCCCGCGCCCCCACCCCCTCCTCCCCAGGTCCCTCCCGCCTTACCCCCTCCTCCCCAGGTCCCTCATCTGCCCCACCCCCTTCCTTCCCAGGTTCCTCATGCTTCACCCCCTTCTTGGAGTTCCTCCCGCACCCCCACCCCCCTCCTCCCAGGTCCTCCCGCGCCCCCACCCCCTCTCCCAGGTCCCTCATGCTTACCCCCTCCTCCCAGGTCCCTCATACGCCCCACCTTCTTCCCAGGTTCCTCCGCACCCCCACCCCCTCCTCCCCAGGTCCCTCCCACGCCCCACCCTCCTCCCAGGTCCCTCCCCTTCCCCCTCCTCCCAGTCCCTCATACTTTACCCCTTCCTTTAGAGTTCCTCCCGCACCCCCACCCCCTCTCCCCAGGTCCCTCCCACTTCCCCCTCCTCCCAGGTCCCTCATGCTTTACCCCTCCTTCCCAGGTTCCTCACCCCACCCCCTCTCCCAGGTCCTCCCGCGCCCCACCCTCCTCCCAGTTACTCCATCAGCCCCCACCCCCTTTCCTTCCCAGGTACTACATTGCACCCCCACTTCCTTCCCAGGTCCCTCCACAGGTCTGCTTCGCTCTGAGCTGTTCTCTTGGCCACAAATGCTGTTCCTCTACCTCTCCCCACTCACCTCGCATCTTCTCACAGAGTCCTTGTCACTTTCTGCTTTCTCGGGTGGAGTCTGCGCCAGGGGCAGCCCAGGAGCAGGTCCAAGCCACAGGACCTCCATGAGCCTTGCAGCCTGGTTTCTTGAGTGCCAGGCAGGGGCGTGGGACCTCCCCCCCCCCACCCCCCTCCTCCCCAGGTCCCTCATGCGCCCCCACCCCCTTTCCTTCCCAGGTACCTAATGCACCCCCACCCCCTTTCCTTCCCAGGTCCCTCCACAGGTCCTGGCCAACTCCCAGGCTGTTCTCTTGGCCACAAATGCTGTTCCTCTACCTCTCCCCACTCACCCCTCATCTTCTCTGAGGGTCCTTGTCACTTTCTGCTTTCTCGGGTGGAGTCTGCGCCAGGGGCAGCCCCAGGAGCAGGTCCCAGCCACAAGTTTCTCCATGAGCCTTGGCCTGGTTTTCTTGAGTGCCAGGCAGGGCGTGGGGACCTCCCCTTCCTCATCCGTCACCTGGCTTCCTCCACATGTACAGAGGAGGAGAGTGAGGCTCAGAGAGGGGAAGAGGCTCTCCCTAGGCCACACGGCCAGGAGCACTCAAACAGGATTCAACAGACACCTGAGGTCCCATCACCAGCACAGCTGCCCCTGCACAACCCGGGGTGGAGCCTGGAGAACGGAGGGGAGGACACCACCAGCTCCCCAGCGTGTTCCTCAGGCACGGGGCCTCCTGCCCCTGCAGCCTCCGTTCCACCTCAGGTTTGAATCCCAGACCTGCTGCCTGTTTTCAGTAACCCGGGCCCTAAAAGGAGGCGAGCATGTTGATGACAAGCAGGAACTTTGGAGTCCTGCAGAGCCCTGGCCCTGTGGGGGCAACACCAGGTCATGGCTCAGATCCCGGCACGCGGCACACTCGTCGTGTGACCTTGGGTGGATGACTTCACCTCTCCGAGCCTGGTCCCTCCTGGTAAAATGGGCTGATGGTAGCATAAGCTGCAGAGGGTCTCCGTGAGGATGAATGACTCATCAGTATCTGTAGAGCACTGAGAAAAGGCTCCCTGCAGTGAGCCGCTATCCAGGTCTCTGAAGTAAAAGGACAGGCCCCTGTTCTGCCCAAAGGGAACCACACGAAGTCCCCGACTGCTCCGGGCGCCGGCAGGGCGCTGTCTGTTCTGGCTTCGGGATCCAGAGTGTCGCAAGCACGCAGGTGGTGGCCATAAGCCCTTGTTGGATGATGGCTGTGGCAACTCCTTGCGCCGTGGCATGATGGCCCAGAGGTCTCCTGGCCACCCTCTCCACCTTAGGAAATGTGGCGTGTCCGTCCATCGTATGAGCGCCCATCCAGCGCCCGGCGCCAGCTCCTCAGCGGGGCTCTCTGCATCCATTTCTGTTTTATTTGAGTATCGTGGCTCAAATGGAGCCGCCTCCGTGGGAGGGCTTTGGAAAGTCCAGACAGGGTGTCCCCAGTGTCCTGGACCCGTGTCCCCAGAGCCAGCCTGGCGTTTGAAGCTCTCGGCCCCGTCCCTGCCTGCTCCCTTCTGGGCGTGCCCAACCCACGCTGGCCCAAGGGCAGCCTGGTCTGGATGGGCTGCACCCCACAGGGCGCCACGTTCGCCTTCTTTGGATGTCACCAGGGACTGGCCACCGGCCCTGCAGCCAGGCGGTGTTGACGGCCCCCACAGCTGTGGCCGCACATGTGCCCAGCCATCAGCCTCCTGACAGGCGGGTGGCCAGGAGGGGCAGGGCGCCCTGCGGGAGGGAGGCCAGCGGCTGTGCGGAGGGGACAGCAGGTGCCGCGAGGCCTGGGTGGCTGTTTACTGGCTGCTTCCTCCCCCACCACTCCCCACAGCAGACAGGGGGCTGCTCCACTCCTGCCTGGAGCACCAGGGGCTGGTTAGAGCCCAGGCGCCACGGCCCTGAGATGTTGGGCAGGACCTCAGCACCTCTGAACTTCTCTGCCCCTCTGTGAAAGGGGCAGGCGGCGAGAGGATCGGGTGAGGTTGGCACCGTATTTGGCACGTGATAGCTGCAGAAGTCATTTATCTGTCATCTTCCAGAGGCCGCATGGCCCTGGCCCCGGCTGGATCTCTCTGTCTGACAGTGGGGCTGTGACCCCGGGAATAGGGAATGGGCAGAAGCAGGGGTAGCGCCCACAGTTCACTAATAAAGCAACAGACACCAGCCCCCAACTGTGGCCTCACCTGCTTCATGCCCCGGGCCGTGGGCGAGACCCACAAGTGTTAGCAGGAGGAGGCTGCAGGGCAGTCCAGGTTTTAGCAGGTAGAGGATGCCCTCCTTGCTGCTCTAAGCTGCTGAGGCCCCCGAAGTCTCAGCCACGGATCCCAGGTCTTTCTGCCTTGCCTTGGTGCTGGCTGACCTTGACTTAAGATGAATGGGGAGGCCCAGGGGCTTACACCCGCACCCCCTGCAGAAAATGCTGCAGACAGGGTGCTGGCTTGGTCTCCTGGTGTCTCGGGCGGGTCTGTGCTGCAGGCCCTTCAGTTAAGCTGGAAGCCTTGTCTGCAGGCCCTGCTCTCTGGATGGCGCAAAGGGGCTCAGTGACCACCAGTCCTGCCCACCAGCGCCTTGAGCATTTTCCCACCCTCCCCGCACACAGCTGGCCCTGGGCAGAGCTGCTCAGACTTCAGGGAGCCTCAGACCACGAGAGAAGCTTGTTCAGCTGCAGGTTCTGATTAATCAAGTGTCCTGGCATTACCACCTGCCAGTGGGCGGCGCTCAGCGTGGCCAGGCCTCGGCCATCCCGACATCAACGCTTCCTCTGCCTGCTGGTGGCCGTGCTCAGCGTGGCCAGGCCTCGGCCATCCTGAAGTCAACGCCACCTCTGTCTTGGCTGTCCTATGAATCACCGGGGCAGAAGATGGTGAAAATGGAGGTTTTGCCGCCCTAGGTGGCCTGCCAGCTGGGCTCTCCCTGGGCATACACTGCCCGCCCTCCTGCCCCCAGCCCAGGGGAGCCTGTTAGCATTGGAAAGTGGAAGAGACTCTTAGAACTATGGCCTCTGGGGCCCAGACCAGCAGCAGCCCCACCTGGGAACATGTTGGAAATGCAGGTTCTGGGTCCCAGCCTGACCTGCTGAATCAGAACTGGGGGGAGAGGCTGCGGTCTGTCTGAACACCCCCTGGGGGATGCTCATGGAGGCGGGAGCATGGCACCACTGCCTCAGGGCACTGCTCACTCCTGGTCTGTAGAAGCCTCAAACCTGGAGTAGGGTGTGGCTCTCCCAGGGCCACTACACTCCGAGGGCCCCAGCTCCAGCGTGGCTGGCCACCTGAGATGAGCTGGCCCAAGCCCATCCTCCGGCCTGGTTCCGCCCCCGAGATCACCTGCGGGTGGGACGTCAGCCACCTGTCAGGGCACCTGGGGCAGGCTGCCCCAGCGCTGGGCAGCCACTTGGTGGGGCCTTGGCTGGGAACCGTGGGGCTGTGGGCACCGGCCTCTGTACTTAGCCCGCTTCACCCACTCTCTCTTTCTCCTTTGGTTGCAGCCCCTGCGGACAGGAAGGCTAAGGCCTCAGCGATGCCGGACTCCCCAGCGGAGGTGAAGACACAGCCCCGGTCCACACCCCCCAGCATGCCGCCCCCACCACCTGCCGCGTCCCAGGGGGCCACACGCCCCCCCTCCTTCACGCCACACACACGTAAGTAGCCCCCACCTGGCAGCCGAGGGCCAGGTGTTTCAGGGGAGCCCTCGCGTTGTGTGAAATTCCGAGCTTCCTGCCCAGAGCCGGTGGGCACCTGCTGTGAGCCCCGAGTGTGAGGAGCTCCTGTGGCATGGCCCAGAGCCCAGGCTTGGCAGGTTCAAATCCCAGCTTCCCTGCTTCCCACTGTGTAGCTCTGGGCCAGGTCCTTGCCCTCTCGGGGCTTGGGCTTCCTCTTCTGCAGTGCAAGTCCTCCCAGGGCTGTGGTGGGGCCAGGTGAGTCCACACAGGCCTTGCGCCAGGGCCAGCCGTGGGCCTTGGGTCAAAGCTGGCCACTGTGCCTCAGGCTTCCTGCCTCATCTGGCAGGCCCAGGGATGCCAGGCTCATCCAGAGGGAATGTGGAACTGGGATGGAGTCAGGGGCTTCCCCAGGGTCACACAGGAGGTCACCTGTGTACAGGCCCCCTGGAGGGACCGCAGGAGCAGCTCTGGCCCTGGAGGGGCTCGGCAGGGGCTCGGCAGCCCGGCTGAGCACGGGGGCCAGGGTGGGGGCCTCAGCACAGGAGGCCAGAAGGGCGGGACCTCGAGAAGCTCTCAGGCCTTATCTTGCTGGCCCTGGGCAAGGGGTTGGCCATGCTTGGCGCACAGAGCCACTGAGGGTGGGCCCTGGGGGCCTGTGGGGCAGGGAGCGGCCAGTTCTCATCGAAGTCAACCCCGAGGCTTGGCTTTGAGGACAGAATTGGTGCTCTGTGGCCCAGTTGCTGGGCCGGTGGGGTGGGCAGCGTCCCTGCCCCTTAAGGCCGGGGGCTCAGGAGCACATCTCAGTGTCTGCAGGGGTGGAGACTCCGTGTACCCCCTCCACGTTCAGAGGCCAGAAAGCTCTGAAACTCAAATGAAGCCCCTCTCTGTGGGAGGAGCCTGAGACTTCTGTCCCGCTGGCCCTGGGTCCCCCACAGGCCAGGAAGAGCTGCTTCCTCAGTCCCTTTATGTCACAACTGTCCACAGAGCACCAGGCGGCTATGGGCCAGGCCTGGCTCCCTCCCTGGCTCTGCCCCTGAGGCTGGGGGCCTGCTCCGCCGAGGGCTTTGGCCGTCATCTCCCCTGCATCTGGAAAGAGCACTGGCTGTGGGGTCAGGCAGCAGATTTGCGGCCCTGTTTGTGGGATGCTGGCTCTGAGTCAGCCTCCTGACTTGGTTGGGGAATGGGGTGACCCAGCAATGGGGTGCCCCCAGGTGTGCCGCCCAGAGGCAGGTACAGCTGGAAATGTGCCCAGCACTCAATAGGAGCCAAACAGCATAACACCTATTCCCTGCACCCACGGGGCCTCCACGTGTCATGGAGCCCGTAGTGGGGGCCAGCCCTGCCTCCGACAGTCGGGATGCCACACTCACGATTTTGCAGGTCCTGGAGGACGGCAGGCCCAGCATGCAGGTCCTGGCTGTGCGGAGCTGGCCACAGTTTCCAGTGAGAGGTTGGCTGGGCTCTTTCTCACATGTGCTTGTCACACGGCAATGTGGCTGGGTTGGGATCACCCTTCCCTCTCTTCAGGAAGAGCCCTCCCGTCTGGTACGAACCACAGGCCGTCTCTTTCCACCAGGCAGCTTGCGACCACACCGAGCCCACATAGGTAGAGAGGGGAGACCACTGGTGTGTTGAATTCGCAGCACACCCGAGCCCTGGGGGAAGAAATGCTCAGGACGGACCACAGGAGACCCGGCCATGGGTGCAGTGCCTAAAACGCCCACTGCACAAACCTCAGGCCCCAGTGTCAGGGACAAGCCGTGGGCTGAGCCTGGTTCCCCAGACCCTCAAGGGTGCGTCTCCCTGACCTGCTCCCCTCCGGGCACCAGCAGCCTCTGCTTCGAAGGTGCTGGTCTGGGGACCCAATGCTCCTGGCTGGGGGTAGGGTGGGATCAGCGGAGCCTCAGGCTCTGCTTCCGGAGACCTGGGAACAGTTGTGAGGGCAGCCGGCATGCCTGGGGCTGGGGTCCTTCCCGCCCCCTCCGCTCTCAGGACACCTTGGGGTCAGGTTTCTGGGGTGAGGTCCCAGCTGGTTTAAGGAGCGTGAAGGTTATGAAAGAGAGAAGCAGGTGCTTTTTCTTTTCTAAGCCGATGCTTCAGTCCCACCGGGCTGTCAGGAGCATCAGTCTAAGGCTCTGGCTGCCCCTGAGGTGGCCTCAGATTCATCCCCTAATCCACACAATTCCCTGAAAGCCAGGTGGTTGGCCGCACCCCTGCCCCTGGCTGGTGGGTGTCCTTGAGGGGCCACAGCTTGGTGGCAGAGCCCTGCCGGGAGGCTCCTCCCCAGGGACTGGCCTCTAAGCCAAGCTGATGGGACACTGAGCTTGAACGGAGACTTGAGGGCCGAAGTTTTTCTTGCCCAGTGACTGCTCTGGGCACAAATTCATCTTGGAGTTGAAGCTGCAGTACTGCTGTGGGGGTGGGGGTGGTGGGGGGAGGAATATAAGGAGTAGGGACCCAGACCAAGCTCCTCTAAAGCTAGGAGAACTCTTAAAGGGCTAAGGCTTTACCCTGCCCTTGATTACCCCCATGACAGAGAACTCACTACCTGTTTACAGAGCTCCAGTCTTCCTGTGGCCTTCGCCACTAACTTCAGTTTGGACAAATTCAATCTTTCTTCATTTATATAGCAGAGATGGGGACTCCCTACGTCACCCAGGCTGGTCTTGAACTCCTGGGCTCAAGCTCTCCTCCCACCCCAGCCTCCCAAAGCGCTGGGATTACAGGTGTAATCCCGGCCAAATCTTTCTTCGTGTTTGGTGCTTCCTCCTGCAGCGCTGACCCAGGGCTTTGTTTGAGACTCCAAGTCTCAGATCACTTTTAGGACATGCAGCTTTGGCCCAGGCCCCTGAGGATAGTGCTGATGGGGTCACAGGTGCCTTCTGGGAAGAAGATGTTGAAAACGAGGGGCCCCGCCCCTGCTCATAGAGAAGCCTTGGTTCTTGTAGACTCTGGAATGGTCCTGTCAAAAATGGCCCTTAGGGATCATCCACTCTCAGAGAAGGAAACTGAGGCCCAGAGAGCGGAGTGGCCTGGCCCCAGGTGGTGACAGAGCCCCATCCAGAAAATCGCTCTGTGAAGCAGGAAAAGGCGGCCCTGAGTGCCCCTGAGGGCAGAGTCTCCTGCTCACGCCGCCACCGAAAACCGAAAATCGCTCTGAGAAGTAGGAAAAGACGGCTGCGGGCGCCCCTGAGGGCAGAGTCTCCTGCCCACGCCCCTCCTGACAGCGTGTTCTTCTTATTTTGCTTACAGATCGAGAGGACGGGCCTGCGACGCTGCCCCACGGCCGTTTTCATGGCTGCTTAAAATGGTCTATGGTCTGTCTCTGTAAGTAAAATAACAAAAACCGCAGAGGCCTCCCGGGAGGTCTTCACCGCAGCACCCTCTGTGGGCCCAGCGCTGCTGCCCTGGGGGTGCTCGGCACTCCTCCGCGGCCTCCACACCCTCAGCATTGCCTCTGTCGTGTTGGTCCTGCCTCCTTCGGGAGAAGAGGGCGCAGGAGGACAGAGCCACAGGGTCCCTGCATCCCACAGACCCTCCGCTCCAAGCTGTGGGGCTTCAGGCAGGAGCAGGGCCTCTCTGAGCTTTCCTTCCCCAGCAGCAAAACATGGCCAGTGGGACTGACTGGGAGTGTCCAGGGAAGGGGCGTGACACTGTCCCTGGCAGGCCTGTAGCTCAGCCACGTCTGCTAGGGCAGACCCCACCTACCTGGAGTCCCAGCTGCAACTCTTCCTGCCAGGGTGACCTTGGCCAGGTGCCACACCCCATGCCTCAGTTTCCCCACCTGTAAAATGGAAGTCTTCATGGGCCCTGGTGCCAGGGGTGATCTCCAGGAGCCGTGAGATGGTGGGGCCGGGCACGCGCTGGGCGTTCAGCAGACTTGAGTCTCCAGCAGACGTTTGCGTCGACGGGCGAGGCCCTTGGCAGGCGTTCAGGGAGCACGGGCTCTTACCAGGCGGTGTTTAGAGTTTCTCTCAGCCAGTGAGTGCAGCCACGCTTGAGCCCATCAGACAGACTCCGGTCCATCACTACCAGCCAGCCTGGCGGTACGGCCCAGGTGTGGCTGCCGCGTCACTCCCAGCTCTAAGAATGAGGGTGGCAGAACAACTGTGCATTGTTTCTGTTGCACGGGGCTGTCCTTGTCACGGCCGTTATTCTGTGATGGGCCTGGCCATGCACCCGCGCCTGGCATGCAGCTCCGGGGCAGTGGCTGTTGTCACCCACTGTGTGATCTTATGGATGGCAAAGATGGTGAATCCCAGCCTTGGAGCCCCCACAACAAGGAGCAGGGGTGACAGGAGGGGCTGCCTTAGGGCGCCTCTGTCTCATCTGACCCCCCCACCAAGGCTCTGAGGCTGGGGGAGCCGCAGGGGTGCTCGTGTGTGCCCCCAAACCTCAGCTGGGGACACGTGTGCAGTCTAACTTAGTAACACACCTGTTGCAGGAATGAAAGCACTTGTGCCGGGGTTATTTTCGGCGTCTCTTTAGCTGCTGAGACTGCCCGGCAGCGCGGGAGGGAGTGCGCGGGCAGGCGAGGGCGAGCAGGCCGCTGGAAGGACCGGGCACCCAGGGCAAGGCTGGTAAGCGCACCTAAGGGAGGGCCAGGCCCAAGCCGGCCGGGGCGGTGGGCAGGGGCCCTGGTGTGCACCGTGGCAGTCTGAGAAGTCACTGGAAGGTCCACAGTCCTGGTGACAGTCCTGTGTGTCCTGGAGAAACCAGCCTCCCACTGTGGTGAGGTCTCCCATGGTGACGGGCCATCTCCTGGCCTGGCTGGGTGACCGCAAGTGGCTGTCTTCAGTCTTGATGGGGTGTGTGTGTGTCAGAGTCCACCGTGTGGCCAGTTGGAGCTCACCAGTGAGAGGGAAACTCGGCAGCGTGGTGGGGTCCTCCGGACAGAACCTCAGAGAGCGAGAGACCAGGGGCTCAGTGCATCCTGCCTCAGTGTCCACTGTCCCCCCGGAGGAGGGAAAGCCCCAGAATACAGTGCCATTATTGGTGCCACGCACTCCAGAGGGCCAGCGCGTCCATCCTGAGCCCAGGAAGGCACTGCCGAGATCATTCAAGCTAGGGGCACAGACAGGCTACCCCCTACACAGGCCGCCCCTGGTTGAGGGGGGCGCCGCTCAGAACGCCGTGTGGAGGCTCATGGCCCCAGCAGCAGAGGTGTCTCAGTTCTGCAGCCAGCCCATAGGAATGGCCGAGGCCACGCATGCACTCAAGGTTTTGTGCCATATCTGACCTTCAGTTAGTGGTTTCCAGAATTCCAGTAGGTGTGGGGGCCATTTACTGCCAACGGCCTCACACAACACCCAAACCATAAAACCAGTCAGGATGGAGCCACCCCGGGGGGCTGACCTGGGCAGCGAAGGAGAGGCCAGGGAAGCCCGGGTCTGGCCTGAGCGACTCCAGCTGGGGACACATGGTACAAAGGAAGTCACTGCCACACTGTCCCTTGGTCCCTGGAGCCCCACTTGGAACTCCAGGATGGGTTGGGAGCCATTTGCAAATGAAGAAACTGAGGCTAGGCGCCGAGTCTGACTCACAGGGCACGTCTGGGCCTGGCAGCTGGGTCCTCGCTCCTAACCAGGGCAGCTTCTCCCAGCCCTTGAGGGCAGGGCTGTGTTGTCTGGACGTCCTTACCACGCTGGTGTGTCTGAGGGCCTCTGCGGCGCCCCCTGCCCTTCTGGCCTCTCCCACAGACCCTGCAGTGGGTATCTCTGAGGCCCAGGCTGGAGCGAGAGCAGAGTGAGCACTGGGCCCCAGGGGAGGCCGTCATTGTGGGCACATCTGTTCCGCCTTCTCCACCAAGAACATCCTGAGCACAGGGCCGGCATCACCCCGTCCCGCTGTGCCCAGCGCTGGCTGCTCGGTGTGTGGGGCCTGCCAGGGACGGGAGGCGGTCTCAGGGAGCCGCGCTGCCCCGCTGAGTGTCTTCGGTGCCTCGGCGCCCATCTGCCGCGTGGGATGTGTGTGATGACCGTGCAGCCTGTGTGTGCGGAAATGCAGAGCCCAGCCCCGGCCACAGCACAGCTCCCTGACCCGGGAGGCACCTCGCAGGTGCCACTAGGCCGCGGTCGGGAAGGTGAGAGCCTCAGGCGGCTTCTGGGAAGGTGGAGTGGAGGAAGCCGATGGCAGCCACCTAAGGGTTACTGGAGGGACACTTAGAGAGGGTCTCACCCCTCAGAAGGGCCTCGGTGGAGGTACGGGCTGGTCAGTCAACCTCGGGAGGGTGCGGCCCCTTCCAGCCCAGGCCTGCAGGAGCGAGTAGAAAGGGAGGCCGGGCCCAGCCGGGGCCACAGCTGTGGGGACGCAGCCCAGGAAGGGGGGCCGGCATGTGGGCCCCCACGTCCCATGTTCCCTCCCGTTCAGGCAGAGTCCACAATACTCAGCAGGGTCATCTCCCAGGGCCCAGGTCAAGATGGGCAGGGCTGGCCTGATCTGAGGGGTACACCAAGACCCCCCACTATCCAGGGCACATGAAGTAAACAGCAGGTGCCTACCAGCTTCCCAGGAGGAGCCGCTGCACCAGCCCAGCCCAGGGGCGTCTCCATCCTGGAGAGAGTTTTCCTCTCCTCATAGGCACACACAGGCCCTGCCAGACCTCAACCACAGGCGTGAACACACGGCTGGAGCCTCAGAGGAATTCGGCCCTGAAGGAGCAGGTGGCTCTGAGCTGCCCCCACCCCCAGACCCACACTCTCAGCAAGGGCGAGGGGTGGGCTCCCTGGAGAGAGGCACTCGGGGCCACAGTGGAGCAAGAGAGACGTGTGTGAACATCATAGCTGTGCGTGCGTGTGTGCGTGCATGTGTGTGTACGTGTGTGTGCATGTGCATACATGTGTGCACGTGTGTACGTGTGTGTGCATGCGTGTAAGGGCAGTGGGGGGTGAGTGGAGGCAGGGAAATGGAGGAGTTGGTACCCTGTGTAGGGAGCGTGTCCTTGTGCAGGAGGTGGGAGCCAGCTGCGAGTGTGTGCGGAGTTTCGGTCCTCCTGACAGCAGGAGCTGGCCAGGACTTCAGGCCTCCCAGAGGCGTCCAGTCCCCCTCCCGTCAGCAAGGGACTCGGGAGCCCTGTGACCTCTGACCTGTCTGCAGAGCCTGGAGGTCGCCCCTCAGGCTCCTGAGGCCAAGGGCACAGGGTGCAGCTGTCCCGGGCATAGGAGGGCCACCCTGGCCTCCTTGCAAGAAGCTTGGCCTTAGCTCTGTCACCTGAAAAAGGGGTGAGGCCCAGCCCTGGGACTTTCCATAGCAGCTCTATGTCTGCCAGGCCCCTGGAACGCTGACCCCAATAGGAGGGCCAGCCAGGCAGTCACGTCTCAGCGGCCCACAGGCAGCCCTGCAGCGCACTCATCAGCTGTTCCCTATGTCACCTGCTTGTCCTCAACATGCGCTGGTCTGTGTGCACATGCGTCTGTGTGTCCAGCCACCAGAGGCAGGAACCCACCCAGTGCGTCCTTGGGTGTCCCAGCTCCTCTGCCCCCTGGAACCCCATTAGCCCAGGTGTTGGGGCAAATGAAGGCATTGCTCACAGCTGGGAGTCACCTGTCTGGAGCATGGCTCGGGGCTGGGAGACACATGTAGGAGGGACATTGCTCAGGGCGGGAAAGCACCTGCAGAGCTGGGAGGCACCTCTGTGGGGGGGGGGGGCACATTGTTCAGGGCTGGGAGGCACCTGCAGGGCACATTGCTCGGGGCTGGGAGGCCTCTGTGGGGGGCATTGCTCGGGGCTGGGAGGCACTTGTTTTGGGGACGTTGCTCAGGGCTGGGAGGCATCTGTGGGGGAAATTGCTTAGGGCTGGAAGGTGCCTGATTGGTGTAGGGGTATTGCTTGGGAACGTCATGCCAGAGGTGATGGTAGCTGGTCTTTCAGGGGGATGAGCGACTTCTCATTTTCCAAGTCTCTTGTGCCTCCACAAAGTGGGAACTGAGCCATCAAGCCCCCATCGTGTGGAAAAGCCCCTCGCTCCCTGTTCGCAGTGAAACCCTGAGCCAGCCTGGTGGGTCGGTGTCTTCCAGGCCAGGTGTAGGGGCCACACCCCTCCTGGGTGTGAAGGGCCTGACTTCAGCCCGAGAGCAAGTCCCAAGGGTGGTGCCAGGCAGGGGAAGCCACACTCAGAACACGGTCACTCCACAGCCACCACCATTGTGGGTGCCATCCCAGCCCTTACCCACTGGGGACCTGGGGCAAAGAGGCTTCACCTCCCTGGGTATCCATTTCCACGTCTGTAAGGGGTTGTGTGTGACCTCTCAGAGCAGGGCCGGAAGGACAGATGGTCAGCACGCAAAGGTCTGGCTCAGCTGCCCTGGGCGGGCCCAGGGCTCCTGCCGTCATCCTCAGCACTGCTGGCCTTGTGTCCCATTATTGTTGCCGTTGCTGTGGACCTTGTCACCTTGGTCGCTGCTGCCCTCACTGTCGCCGCCGTCTGGGCTGTGTTGTCACCGTCACCTTTGTGTCCTCGTGTCCCTCACCCTCACACCCGCCTCCCTCCTGCAGTGATGAACGGCAGCAGCCACTCGCCGACAGCCATCAGCGGCGCGCCGTCCACACCCAACGGCTTCAGCAATGGCCCGGCCACCTCGTCCACGGCCTCCCTGTCCACACAGCACCTGCCCCCAGCCTGCGGGGCCCGGCAGCTCAGCAAACTCAAGCGATTCCTCACCGCCCTGCGGCAGTTTGGCAGCGACATCTCCCCGGAGATTGGGGAGCGCGTGCGCACGCTGGTGCTGGGCCTGGTGGTGAGTCGGGCAGGGGCAGCCAGGGCCTTGGGACGTGCTATTCCCTCCGTTGAATGAGGATGCAGCCACAGCCACCCCGCATGTGGGCTCCATGCTGACGACTGGGCGTGGACCTGCTCCCACGATGCCGCCTGCACCCTCCCAGGCCGTGCCCAGCTCCTGGGCTGCCTGCCTGCTTCCAACATGGAGCCTCCTCCTCAGGCACGGGCGGGCCGGCGCTGGCTCATGTGCCGAGCGGTGCCGGTGTGAGGTGGGTTTTCTCCCCTGCAGAACTCGACGCTGACGATCGAGGAGTTTCATTCCAAGCTTCAGGAGGCCACCAACTTCCCTCTGCGGCCGTTTGTCATTCCCTTCCTGAAGGTAATGGCAAACCCATCCCCTTTCCTTCGGGGGCCTCCTTAGAAGACCCCTCATCCCATTCCCTGCCAGTGTGGACAGCGGTGGACAGGCGGGAAGGGGCTGATGTGGCCGGATAGACTGGTGGGTGAAGAACTGTCGGGCGTCGATCTTGGCCAGCCGAGGACCTGCCCTAGGGGAGCACTGCTGACTAGTTGACTAGTCAGGGTTGATTCCTACCAGTGAAGGCCTGAAAACTGGTTCCCAGACTGGAGGATTAGTCAACCACTGAATCCAGTGCAGGACAGAGCTGTGTCCGGTTCGGCTCCGGTTGCCACTGGCCGAACGTGCTCGCTCACTCCACAGGTGGTTTTTGGGCACTGATGATGTGCCAGCGTGGGGCGAGGCTCAGGGACAGGGCCCAGGACACGCAGCAGGTCCCTCCTGGAGCCAGCACCCTGGGGTGGGAAGGCGTTCGGTCACAGCCACTGTCAAATCTGCAGCTGTACGTGGTGGAGAAATATTCCGAAAGTCTCTTGCCTGGAGGCGTGTTGGTGAGGACTGAGGATGAGGGCGGAGGTGGGTGCAGAGCCAGCCCAGGGCTTTCCAGACAGCAGGAACTGCATGTGCAGAGGCCCCGCGGCGCGGGGTGCCGGGTGCAGAGAGGCCCTGAGGTATGGGGCGCCGGGTGCAGAGGCCCCCTGAGGTGTGGGGCGCCGGGTGCGGAGGCCCCCGAGGCGTGGGGCGCCCACTGTGCTTGAGGAGCAGCAGAGGGGTCAGTGCGACTGGAACGGAATACGTGGGTTGGAGAGAGCAGAGGTGAGGGCAGGAGGCGTGGACAGGCGGGAAGGGTCTTATGTGGCCACGTAGGCAGGTGGATGAAGACGTGTCAGGTGAAAGCAGGTCAGATGGTCACACCCAGATCAACCGTGGACCAGGGCGGCAGCACGCAGGGCTTGTCAGCTATGCAGGCTCTCGGCCCGGCCGAAACCTCCTGAATCAGAGCCTGCATTTTTACAGATGCCAGTCTGAGGACCGGGGATTGCTTGAGGCCAGGAGTTCCAAAACAGCCTGGGCAACACAGCTAGACCCCATTTCTACAAAAAATTTAAAAATTAGCTGGGCACTGTATGCACCCATGGTCCCAGCTACCTGGGAGACTGAGGTGGGAAGATCGCTTGAACCCAGGAGGTCGAGACTGCAGTGAGCTGCGATCATGCCACTGCACTCCAGCCTGGGCAACAGAGCAAGACCCTGTCTCTGAACTAATGAATGAATGAATGAAGCCATTGATTCCCGTGGGAGAGTGATTCCCACACACAGGCAAAGGGGACGGGCGCGGAAGTGCCGTGGAGTCAGACTGCCATCTTTGCGGGTCTCCGCTTCCCCAAGACAGCCGCACATCTGTAGCAGGAGCTGAGGAAAGGTTCCCCAAATGGATCTGACCCCGTGACCCTCTCTTCTGAGCACGTGTTGGGGTCAGGGTTCCACGGAGCTTAATTGGGAACTGCCAGTCTGGCCGCACCTTCGGGCCCACCTGAGCACTGCCCGCCCTGCTGTGGGCTCCGTCTCTGCTGGGCCAGGCCTCCCCTCGGGGGTCCAGAGGACAGACCGGATCAGACCCTCCCTGACTTGAGCCCGACTCTGCCACTTGGCAGCTGTTGGCCCCTGGGCTAGGCTAGTTCCTCTGTGCCCCGGTTTCTGCGTCTGCGAATCATCCTCAGGCTGTTGGGGAGACAGCACGGAGGGACTCATGGAAGGAACGGGGCCTCACTCCCGGGTTCAGGGTAATCTTCCACCTCAGCCTCCCAGGTCGCAGGGACTGCAGGGAGGTGAGGCACGTTCTAGATTCACGGGCATCGTGCAGGGATTTGAAATGTCCCTCAGCAGAGGAGGAATTGCTTCATGCTGATCTCTCACAGCCCTGTTGACTCCTGTCAAGGTGTAGCATAGGCACTGCCATGTTCCTGATTAGCAGGTGGGGAAACTGAGGCTCTGGGTTCCCCCAGGTGGTGGAGAGTTGGAGCCAGGGCTCAAACCGAGATCTGTCAAACTCCAAATGCCATGGTCATTACAGGGCACACCCAGGGCCAGACCCTGATCCCCCTCAGTCCCTCCCCAAGGGGACCCCACATCACACTCACCTCTGTGGCCACCCTCCCTCACTCCCTCCCTCCCTCCCACCCTGTCTCCTCTGCTTCTTCTTGCCCTGCCTCCCTCCGCCGCCCCCTTCCTCCCTGCACCCCCTCCCTTCCTCCTGCCCTCCCTCCACCACTCCCTCCCTCCTGCCCTGGCTCCTCCGCTCCTTCCTGCCCTCCTTCCCTCCTGCCCTCCTTCCTCTACTCCCTCCCTCCCTCCCACCCTGCCTCCTCTGCTTCTTCCTGCCCTCCCTCCCTACACCGCCCCCTCCCTCCCTCCCTCCACCCCCTCCTTCCCTCCCTCCACCCTCTCCCTTCCTCCTGCCCTCCCTCCCTCCTTCTGCCCTCCTCCACCCCCTCCCAGCTATGCTTATGCGCCCAGCTGGTGACAAAAGAGAAGCTTCTGGAGTGTCGGGAGCCTGGGCCCATCTGGCGTTGTTTGCAGTTCGTTAGCGGTCCTTACCTTCCCTTCCCTTCTTTTAACTTGCTACAGCCCCCACCCCTCCCAGTCTTTGGGGACACAGTGCATGCCCCGGTTTATTAGCAGCAGATGCCTCCAGCCTCAGCCACCCTTGTTTACCAGAGAGATGCCACAGCATCCCCACCCCTGCCCCCCCAGGCCTACGACCCCTGTCCATGATGCCTAGTCAGGCCCTGGTGTCCCCCGGCCGCACCCCAGCACGGTGCCGCCCACAGCACTGCTCTCATGAGGGCACCGCCCGCCTCAGTCTCCCCTTGGTACACAGGGGCTCCCACAGCCTGTGTGGTGCAGCTGGAGCTCAGGGCCAGCCCACCTCATGCCCCCACCCGGGGCCCAGGGCCAGCGGGACATGAAGTCCGGTCACTTCTCTGACATGGAGCTTCTGAGGGGAGGCCAGGAGGATTCAAAAATAAAAGCTAAAGATCCTGCAGCCAGTCCTGCTTCCAGGGCTTGTTGCTCAGATACCGGCCAGAACCCTGGCCCGGCTGTCCCACCCAGGGAGTAGCCCTCACCCCACCCACACCCCTCCCACGCCCCCCCACACCCCTCCCACGCCCCCCCACACCCCGCCACCCATCCCCCACCCCGCCGACACCCCTACAGGGCAGCAGCCCCTTCAGACGCAGAGTGTCGTGGGGGAACCCAACCTTCCCAGGCCAGATAGGAGGTGCCTAGTGGGAGTGACCCCCAGCCAGCCCCCTTGGACCTCGGTGTTCCCGACTGTAGCCTGGGCTAGGGGAGGGGTAGCACCTTCCCGAGACATCCACAGCCCTCAGGCCCAGTGTGGGGCACCCTCACGCAGCCCTTGGAGACATCATCCTAGAAACGGCAGGACTGGTGGCTAAGGGGCCGGAGAGGGTGGGGGCCTGCCTGGCTGGAACCCCAGCCCTGGCTTGCGTCCTCTCTCTCGTGGCTGGGGTGGTGAACCCCCCGCACAGGGCAGTGGGAAAGGACGGAGCTAATTTACCCGGAGCTCGCCGGAGCCCGTCTCGGCCGGAGTCTCCACGGTGCCAGTTTGCGGATACAGCAAGGGTCAGAGAGGTTAAGCGGCCAGCCCACGGTCAGGGAGGCTTTAGCTGGGCGCTTGGCAGAGCAGCAGAGTCTGCGAAAGCCCGTGTAGCTCGGCTAGTGCCTCAACCACTGCTGCCATCGCTGCGAACATCAGTTCCCCAGCCTGAGTTCGCATCTGTGCAGAGGGCAGCTTTCTGCAGTCAGAGCCTCCATTTGGCGGTGGAGTTGGGGCATTTTTGACCAGCTCAGTTTGTGTAGCATTTTAGTGGTGACACCTCCCCGGTGCCCTGGACTCCTGGGGACGGAGTGGGCACACTGCCTCGAAGGCGGCTTTGCAGGAGGCTCCCACAGGCCCCACCCCATTCTGCAGGCCTGGGGGAGCCATTCCCTGCTGGCCGAGGGCTGCGATGCATCCGGCGCACACACTGGTATTGCCCAGTCCTGGGTCCCCTGCACTCTTCTGAGCCTGCCCCACACGCGGCCCAACGGTCAGGCCTTCCAGAAGCCGGGGGATGCAACCCCACCCATCGCCCCGGCTCCCAGCTGGCCCCAGCTGGCCCCAGCCAGCCAGAGATCCAGATGCTCCCCCTGTCCTAACCGCGACCAGCCGGTTCCCAAACGGGCCAAGGGGAGGTCCCTGGGGAGGGGCTGATGAGGGAGGGAGGATGTTTGGCTCCTCAGACCTCCCGGGACCTCGTTTCCCAGCTCATGCCCCTAATGTGCTCGACAGATGGCTGTTTGGCCCCTGTTCAGCTATCCAAAGAGAAAAACAGGCCCGCAGCCGGCGCTGCTCAAGGGCCTGGTGGAAGCACTCGTGGGGAAGGGGGAGGCGCTGGCAGGAGAAGGCGGCGTGGCAGCTTTGAAACGCATGAGAAAGTTGGAGAATTGTATTTATTTACAAATGCTTAGAACCGCTGGCCCTCCCAAGTGGCCTGCTGCTGGGCCCTGGTCCAGCACACTCAGGGTCCAGCCTGTCCGCCCTCCCGCGGCAGCTCTGGGAAGACTTTGGGGAAGGCACCCGAGAGCACAGCTTGCGGCCCAGCGGTGCCGGCCTGGAGCCAGGGAGGCGCGGTGGGCGCCTCGAGTCCTCACAGGAGCCAAAGGCAGGGTCTGCGCACGAATCCTGTACACTGGGCCGTCCTTCGGCCGCACGCTGCGGAGTCCTTACCCGCAAACATGGAGCCTGGTCTTGAGGCTGTCCTCACCGGGGCTGGAGGATCCCTGAGCACCACGTGCTCACAGCAGCGCAGCCACACAGCACGGGTGTTCACCTCCCAAGTCCACACTCCGTGGAGGCCAAGGCTGGAAACCAGCGGGAAGGGAAGGGGAAGCTGCCTCTGAGGGTTTTCCCATCAGGGCTGGAGCGGACATACTGCCCGTAATCTTGGCCGGGTTTCACTCCCAGCTCCCTCGTGTGAGGGCCTGCAGACCCGGGGCCGCCTCCCCTCTCTGAGCCTGCATTTCCCCAGCTGTGCCCAGTCATGTGGTGCCTGCTGGGCGGGGCGGGTGCAGGCGGGAAGACCAGCCGTGATCTGCCGCACCGTCTTCTCCAGACGGCGCCATGGGAGGGAGCTGGGTGCAGTGGAAAAGCCCCAGCCTGGGAGTCCAGGATCTGGGCTCAAGCCCCACACGCCCCACGTCGCTGTGTGGCCCTGGTGAGGCACTCCTGCAAGCCTCTGTGCCCCCCTCCCACGGCACCCTCCCACGGCACTGCTAGGAAGGAACTTGAGGCCCACAGAGGTCGAGCACCTAATCTTTGAGGCCCGAGGTCAAGTTGAGCTTTCGACCACCCAACCCAGGCCCCCTCTGCTCGGCCCTGCACGCCCCCCAGGCCCTCCTTCCCCACCCCACAGGCAAACCTGCCCTTGCTGCAGCGGGAGCTCCTGCACTGTGCACGCCTGGCCAAGCAGACGCCCGCCCAGTACCTGGCCCAGCATGAGCAGCTCCTCCTGGACGCCAGCGCCTCCTCCCCCATCGACTCCTCAGAGCTGCTGCTGGAAGTCAACGAGAACGGCAAGAGGAGGACGCCCGACAGGTACCTGTGGGCTCAGGGCATCTGGGCTGGGGGCACCGTGGACACGCGGCTCACGCTGCTCCCCTCTCGGTAAGAGAGGAAACCTCCTCTGGGGCTGCAAGCCCGGCCAGCCCACTCAGGCTGAGGGAGTGTGGCGAAGCATCCTAGGGCCAGCAGGCTTGGCGGCTGCCCGGGCAGACACCCCAGTGGGCTGCAGACTCAGATGCTCCGGGGAGCCTAAGAGGACAAGGAGGAGGCTGGTGGGAGGACGGCTCTCCCCTGTGTGCTGGGTGTGGACTCTGAGCGTCCAGGGGTCCAGGGTCCCCAGGTGCCTGGGCTAGGCCCACTTTGCTGCCCCAGATGCTCTTGTGCTGCTGCTGCCCAAGGGGCAGGTGGTCTCCAGTTACGGGAGGCTGGTGTATCCCTCGCCTCATTCCCAGAGCAACGAGTCCGGCTCTTTGACCACCAGGCCTCAGGATCCCGTGCAGCTCGAGCAGGGGTTGAGGCTGGCATAGTCCCCGGCAGAGGGGCGGCGAGTGGGGGTGCTGGGCTGGGCTCCCCAGGGCTGGTGTTTTGCTCCGTGTCTCTGTCTCGCCCTTACATGTCCTCTTTCTCTCTGCCCACACCTGTCTGCCTCTCACCCCACCTGCACCTCTGTCCCTGGCTCTGCTCTATCCACTGCCCCCAACCCGCCTGCTCTTGGGCTAGGACCAAAGAGAACGGGTTGGACCGTGACCCGCTGCACCCCGAGCACCTCAGCAAACGGCCATGCACCCTGAACCCTGCCCAGCGCTACAGCCCCAGCAACGGGCCCCCGCAGCCCACGCCACCGCACTACCGCCTGGAGGACATCGCCATGGCCCACCATTTCCGAGACGCCTACCGCCATGCGGACCCCCGGGAGCTGCGAGAGCGCCATCGGCCGCTTGGTGAGCAGCGTGGTGGGGCGGAAGCGTGGATGCGTGTTACAGGAGCACACATGTGCCCACGTGTGTGCACCTGAGCATGTGGGCGCAAGGCACCACGGGCAGCTGTGTGCACCTGAGCTCAGGAGACCCCGTCCCCCCCGCCTGGCACCATTCGGGGCCAGGAGGGTCCTGTCCCTCCCGGGGCAGGGTGGTGGCTGCAGAGGGGCCTGTCCTGGGCCCTGAGCCCACCTCTCCCCCTGGGGTGTGCAGCCTCGGGCCTGGAGCTGCCCACGTGGTGCTCATCCGAGTTTGGCGATTCCCACAGTGCACCTGCAGGCGGGTCACATGGCTCTGCATCTCAATTTCCTCCTCTGTCAGCTGGGTCAGACGAGAGTCCCACCTCTCAGAGTCCAAGGCCCAGGGGAGTTAATGCAGGGTCTAGGTCTAGCAAGGGCTGCCGTGAGGCCTGGCTGGTATCTACAGCAGGAGGAGGGCATGGAGACTCAGAGTGAGGCCTGGCTGGTGTAGGTAACAGAGAGGTGGGCACGGAGTCTCGGCATGAGGCCTGACGGGCATGGATACCAGAGAAGTGGGCACGGAGTCTCGGTGCATTTTACCCTTCACTCGTTCCTCAGCCCGTCAGCAGGGTAGCGTCAGCACCCCCATACCACAGATGAGGAGACTGGAGCCCGAGAGCACACATAATGCACCCACAGTCTCATAACCCAGCCTGCCTGACTTTGGATGGCCTCTGTGCTGAGGACCCAGAGATGGTTAGGCCCAGCCCCACCCCAGGAGCCCCCCAGGACAGGCTGCAGGGAGGCCTCCAGTCTGCCATGCTGAGACAGAGGCCCAGGGCACGGTGGGGGCCCAGCAGCCGGGTCAGCAGAGGCCTTGCCCTGCACAAGGCCATCTCCCAGCCCCCACCTTGCGGAAGGTTCCAGGGCCTGGGCCCAGGCAGCAGGTGATGGCGTCTGGCATGCTGCAGCCGGGCCGGGCAGGTGCTGACTCCCACCCGCTTCTGCTAATACAAAAATAAACGCCAGCTGTCGGGCACGTCTCAGCCACTATTTTGGTTGGGGTGTTGGTGCCGGCTGCAGCTTCACAGGCGGCAGAGCAGGGTGGTGACTTTGAGCTGTGGCTGCCACCTCCTCACCTCCTCTGCAATTTGGGGGAGCCATTTCAGGTTCGGGGCTAGGATATCTTTAGGGGCTGAAAAGGGTCCAAAGAGGAAGACCTCAGCCCCAGGAAGCATGGGCCATGGCCGAGTGCAGAAAACAGTGAGGTCTGGAAGCATCTGATGTCTCCAGAAGCCGTGGGCGCAGCCACCACGAAGAGTTGGCCACTGCCAGCATCACTCACATCTCCCGTGGGCACAGCCACCACGAGTCATCCACTGCCAGGGGTCACTCACATCTCCTGTGGGCCCAGCCACCACAAAAGGATCAGCCACTGCTGCGCGTCACTCACATCTTAGTTTCTGGTGACCTGTGGGAGTGGCCCCTGCAGCTTCAGTCCTGGAGCCTGTCAAAAGGGAAAACCTTAGACATGCTGCACTGAACAGAGTTTAACTAAGTGAGGAACAATCCCCGAATAGGACAGGCCTCAGAGGCAGTGCGCCCCGAGAGCCCTGGCCTGGGCATGGCTGGTGGTGTTCACAGGCAGAGACGGGAGGCGGGTGCCGAGGCGGCGTGGTGGCATGTTGCTTGGCGTGGCCTCATCTGAGTTGTGGGCGCCTGCGGGTGACCTCAGAGGGCTGCTGTGAATGACTCAGACCAGCTCCTCCCAGCGAGGTTACCCATTGGTTCACGGGCTAAGGCAGGTCCAGGTCATGGTGTGACTTGGCACTGAGGCATCCTCAGGCCACGCTTAGTCTAACAAGGCCTTCCCAGACAGTGGCTGAGGACAGCGCTCCAGCCCCAGCCAGCCTTGGTCCACACCCCACCTCCACCGCTGTTAACCAGGCTTAGTTTCCTCAGGTGCAGAACCGGACTGAGACTGGACCCTCCCTTGGAGGCATGTGCCGGGTTGCAGGGGAAGAGCAGTCAGCCCAGAGGCCCAGGCAGCTCAGTAACCCAGGCATCCTCCACGTTCACCAAGTCAACTAGTCCTTCCTTTACCCTATCCATAGTCCCCAGTGGGCACAGCCCATGGGTGGGGTCTGGGAGCAGAGAGCGGGGTCTGGGAGAATAGGGCGGAGCCTGGCTGTGGGCAGGACCTAAGTATGCACCTCCCCGATCCACAGTGGTGCCTGGGTCCCGGCAGGAAGAAGTGATCGACCACAAGCTCACAGAGCGTGAGTGGGCAGAAGAGTGGAAGCACCTCAACAACGTGAGTGTCCACAGCCACGCCCACACAGCCATGTCTGCACACAGCGAGTGGAAGCATCCCTCAACAACGTGGAGTGTCCACAGCCACGCCCACAGCCATGTCTGCACAGCCATGCCCACACACAGTCACGCCACACAGCCACAGCCACACACAACCATGCACAGCCACGCCCACACAGCCACAGCCACACACAACCATGCACAGCCACGCCACACAGCCGCTGCAGCCACACAGCCACAGCCACACCCACGTTGCACGCCACACACATGCACACAAATACAGCCACACACATGCACACCACACCCATGCTGCCACACCCAACCACACAGCCACACTCATGCAAACAGCCACACCCACATACAGCCACACCCACATACACAGCCACATAGCCACGCCCACACACAGTCACACAGCCACGCCCACACACAGCCATGCCCATGCACACAGCCACACCCACACACAGCCACACCCATGCACACAGCCACATCCACACACACCACACCCATATACAGTCACAACCACGCACACAACCACATGCATACATAGCTACACCCACACACAGCCATACCTGCATGGCTACACCCATACATAAACATGGCCATGGCTCTGCCCTATGGGGCCTGGGGCTGCTAGAGACAGCGGGACTGTGTGGGTGCCCCTGAGCTCAGTGCCTGCCTGTGTAGCCTGCCCTGCCCCGTCCCTGCCCGGCTGCTGCGTCCTTCACCTGAGCCCCCGTCCCCCGCTGTCGGCACAGGCTGGTGCAAGGCATCACGAGAGGCACGGGGAGGAGGATTCCTAAAACCATCATGGCGGGCCTTGCCTTCCCTCCACTTACTTTCTGCTCACTGGCTTGTCCCAGAGTCTATCCTGAGTCTTACAAGAAGTGTGGGGGGAAAGCAGTGCTGAGGCCTCTTTGAGGCAGGACATGTTTGGGGACGGTCCTGGAACCGGGCTCGTGAGAACCCACCCCCCCATCCCGCAGCACGTCCAAGGAGGGGTCGCCGGGCGCGGGGCCAGAACCCCTCCCAGCACTGTTGTCAGCCTCATCCCTCACCCTCGTCCTTTTTGGAAGGGGAGCCCAGGCAGAAAGCCAGGTCCCTGAGGCAGAGCCGCCCCAGCGGGTTAAAAAGGAGAATCGTAAACTCCTGTGTGCGTCTAAGCATGTGTCCTGTGCAGGCGCCCGGCAGTCCCGGGCGAGGGACCCATCGTTCCGAGCGGTAGAGGTGGGCCCTCCCTCACCCCCTTGCCCTTGTGGGCGGTGGGCTGGTCAGGCACCCATCCTGTCCAGGGCTCTGGCCGAGTGGGCAGCACAGGGAGTGTCCGGTGCGCCCGGGTCCCTCCGAGGTGCTGATGCGCCCCACCGTGCCCATCCGCCCGCCCCCAGCTCCTGAACTGCATCATGGACATGGTGGAGAAGACACGGCGCTCGCTCACGGTGCTGCGCAGGTGCCAGGAGGCCGACCGCGAGGAGCTCAACCACTGGGCACGGCGCTGCAGCGACACGGAGGACACGAAGAAGGGCCCCAGTCCCGCCACGGCCCGGCCCCGCAGCAGCTCCGCTGGCCCTGAAGGTTCTCAGCTAGGTGTGCGGCGGGTGGGTGGGGAGGGGGCAGACACCTGGGAGCTGTCAGGCAGGCAGTGCAATGAAACGCCAGGCAAACAGTTTCACTTGAGAAAGAGGCACCTTTTTCACTTTGTACAGAAACACTGCCTGGTGTCCCAGGAGCCTGGAGCTCAGGGTGTCCGGGGGCCGGAGGCTGAGCTGGGAAGCCCTGAGGGTCTCTGCTCCTCCGCCTCAGTGATGAATATACTGAAACTAGGAGAGGCCCAGGACACACACGGCTCCCAGCCGAGTCCAAGGTCCACAGCTCCAGTGCCCCCCCCATGCCCGGGCACTGCCGTGGGTGCCTGGCGACTGAGCCAGACCTTGTCCAAGGGTACCTGGGCCCTCCCGCAGGGACGCGCACACTCGTGCCCTGCATTCAGGGCCCAGCCAGGGTGGGGAGAGGCAGCCGCGTGGCCCATCCTGTGTGACGCTGGCCCCCGTTTCAGACGTGCCCCGGGAGTTCCTGCCAAGGACCCTCACCGGCTACATGCCCGAGGACATTTGGAGGAAGGCTGGTGAGTGGGGGCTGCCCGGCGAGCGGTGCTGGTGAGTGGGGGCTGCCCGGCGAGCTGTGCTGTGGGAGGCCGGGGCCCCAGATGCCCCTCAGCAGCTCAGCTATGAGGAGCTTCTGTCTCCATCTGGGGGTTCAAGCTGTGGGGCTTTATGCATTCCGCTGTGTGGCTCACAGAGGGGCCAGAGTAGATTCACACTCAGGGCAGGACAGCTGCTACCTGCGCCTACCAGGAAACGGACCGGTGGCCGCCCAGCAGAATAAAGTGGGTGCCAGCCCTGCACACCCAGGAGGGCACGCAAAAGCGCACACACTCGGAGCCTGGGCGCGTCAGGCACGCGGGGCCAGAGTCTGGGCAGAACAGAGTCAGAACATGGACAGACGTGGAGCTGGGCGCTGGGCAAGGCTGTGGGGACATTTGCTTATGCTGTGGAGACCAGACTTGGGGTAGGGGCTGGGGCAGAGCTAGATCTGTGGGTAGCGAGAGGGGTTAGGTTTGGGGTTGGGGTTGGGGTTAGGGTTAGGCAGTGGTACCAGGGTCTCCAGCTGGTCTTAGGGTCTCTTTCAGTGGTGGAGTTGAAACCTGGCCTCTCCAACTGGGCGGGCGGTTCTCCCTGGAGCTGCTCTGAGTCTGCCCCACCTTAGCACAGATCAGGATCAAACAATGGGGTCAGGGAGCGTGGTCTTCCGAGGCCAGCTAGGTTAAAGGATGGCAAGTGCAGTGAGGATAACAGAGCAGGGTCTAGGGTGACAGCACAGAGCCCTGGAGGAGGGGGCTTCCTGGGCTGCGTCTGGTGGGGCCAGAGGTGAAGGCAAAATGGCAGAGTTGTCCGAGTGCCTCAGGTACGGTTCCTGGAGCAGCAGCAGCAGCTCCCTCAGCACACACTAGGAATGCAGGTTCCGGGTGCACCCCTGGCTGACCAGACCCTGGGTGGGCCTCGCCGTTGCCCTGCAGGGGGTGCAACGCCTGGGGAGCAAGCTTTGCAAAGCTCCCCATGTGCTGGCCGCATGACCCAGCTTTGCACACACAGGCCTGGGATACCTGCGTTTATTTGCGTGCACTTGTCTGCACAGGCATGAGGGTCATCAACATGTGCCTGTATGTGCACAGATGCTACGTGTGTTCAGCTGCACACAGCCCTTGTCCCCAGGTTGTGGGCGTAGGAAGTCCAGAGACCCGTCTGGGACGGCCCATGTGACCGCCAGCCCTGCCCGTGTCCTTTGCAGAAGAGGCCGTGAACGAGGTGAAGCGGCAGGCCATGTCGGAGCTGCAGAAAGCCGTGTCGGACGCGGAGCGCAAAGCGCACGAGCTCATCACCACGGAGCGTGCCAAGATGGAGCGGGCCCTGGCCGAGGCGAAGCGGCAGGCCTCCGAGGACGCTCTGACGGTCGTCAACCAGCAGGAGGACTCCAGCGAGGTAGGGCCACCCGGCCACGCTGACGCCCTTCCCCCGCCTCGGCTCCCGTGTGGTCCCACGCCACCTGTGTGAGGATTTTGAGCCTCCACATGGCATCAGGACAGTTATCACGGGCGTCCTGCAGCAGGCATGCCGTCCCTGCCCATGCTGTGTTTATCAACACACAGATTCCACATGGTTTGGTGAGACATCCTGTGGGCATCCCCGTTCTGTAGATCCAGAAACTGAGGGGTCAAGAAGGTTGGCAGCTTGTCTGAGGTCACGGCCTTGGGAAGTGGTGGGGCCAGGACTCAAACCCAGGTTGGCTGATGCTGAGTTGGAGTTTCACTCTTGTTGCCCAGGCTGGAGTGCAGTGGCGCGATCTTGGCTCATTACAACCTCCGCCTCCCGGGTTCAAGCGATTCTCCTGCCTCATCCTCCTGAGTAGCTGGGATTACAGGTGTCTGCCACCACGCCCGGCTAATTTTTGTATTTTTAGTAGAGACGGGGTTTTGCCATGTTGGCCAGGCTGGTCTCAAACTCCTGACCTCAGATGATCCACCCACCTCGGCCTCCCAAAGTGCTGGGATGACAGGCGTAAGCCACCGTGCCTGGCCTGAAACCCCTGTTCTTTAGCCTGTGAGAGCAGGAGGATCCAGGAGAGCTGTGAGGGCTCCAGGTGGCGTCTGAGGTGCCCAGCTCCCTCCCGGTGCACACGGCAGGCCTGAGAGTCACCCTGCTTGTGCCTGTGCACCTGGGAGGCAGGTGGGGGCAGGGACCCTCTGCGACCCTTTTTTGCCTTGTCCACAAAGAGGGGAGAGGGAGAGACCGTTTCCAGGGGAGCCCCAGGACTGTCCCTTGAGACAGGGCAGATCTCTGTCCAAAGCCCCTGTGTGCATCTGTGCCTGGGCCAGCCCCGGGGTGGGAGAACATGGAGCCCCATCGATGCAGGGGTCTCTACACCAGCCCTTTCCACACATGCTCTCGGCTGGGGAGAAGCTAGAACACCGTGGGCAAAACTCTCACAGAGCTGGCACTTGAGTGGGCACAGAGAAGGAAACACCAAAAGCAGAAGCAAGGAATGTGGGCAGAAGCGAGGTGGGCAGAAGCGAGGCGGGCAGGCCATTTCGGGGGGCGGAAGTGTGTGGGGAGTGGGGCCGTGGAGGCGTCATGGCAGGTGACACCTGAGCAGAGGCTGGGAGGGATTAAGCTGGCCACGTAGGCATCGGGGGAGCAGGCCCAGCGGAGGGACCGGCAGGGGCCAGGGTCTGGAGCGGGGACCGTGCCTGGCAGTGCCTGGTCCGCAGGAAGGCTGCTGCTGCTGTGGCAGTGAGGGGAGGTGGGGTGGGAGGTGGCACCAGAGGCTTTAGAGGCCGAAGAGGGACCTGGGCTTCTCCCCTGGGGCAGGTTGGGCTTCCCACCCCACAGCTCAGCCGTCTCTGTGAGAGACCCAGCCTGGCCCCAAGAAGAAACATGCTTAGGCTTTGTGTGGCATCCATGACCCCCTCTGCCCACAGGGATGCCTGAGGCACAACTCACCCTACGGGAAGGGAGCAGAACCCACCACAGGGTGGGGGCAGAGGTAGGGGGTGCAGCAGAGGCAGATGGTGAGATCTCAGTGGCCTCAATTATGCTGGGGCCACGCCCTTTGGTTTTGGAGCCTGGTGAGCTCAGGAAGGCTTCCCGGAGAGGAGGCAGTGGTCATCGTTCAGTTAGCACAGCACAAACCTGTCTCGGTGAGCTGGAGTGTGAGGCACAGTAGTAGGAAGCTGTCCCCCAAAATGGCCCAGTGAGCGGCTGTATCTGGGGAATGGCCCGAGGGCCGTGGGGCTTTAGAGTTTCTCTCTTCTCACCTGTTGATGACGTACTGGGTCTGAGTGGCCTGGCTGGAGCATGTGTTGGGGATTCGGGTGACCGGACCCAGCCCTGACTGGCCCCTCTGCCCCCACCCAGAGCTGCTGGAACTGTGGACGGAAAGCCAGTGAAACGTGCAGCGGCTGCAATGCGGCACGCTACTGCGGGTCCTTCTGCCAGCATCGGGACTGGGAGAAGCACCACCACGTGTGTGGCCACAGCCTGCAGGGCCCTGCGGCCGTGGTGGCCGACCCGGTGCCTGGACCGCCCGAAGCCGCCCACGGCCTGGGCCCCTCCCTCCCCGTGGGTGCTGCCAGCCCCAGCGAAGCCGGCTCTGCGGGGCCTTCTCGCCCTGGCTCCCCCAGCCCGCCTGGCCCGCTGGATGCCGTGCCCCGCTGACCCCACCAGCCCCCGGCCTGCTGGATACAGCACCGTGCCAACCCCACCCAGCTCCAGGCCCGCCGGATGCTGTGGCCTCTGACGCCCGGCCGGCCAGACGCTGTGCCCCACCTGGCCTGGGGAAGCCGACCAATTAGAGTCACTGCTGCTACTGCCCCTCTCCAAAAGAAGACACAGAACCAACAAAACCGCATTCAATGCACCTGCCTCAGCTACCAAATGATTCTGCGCGGACACCTTGACAACCTCTTTTCAAGCATCCTCAGAAGCCTCGATGAGCTTTAGACAGCAGAGCGGATGCCGCGGGCGCGGCAGCTCTGCCCACCTCTCTCTCTTTTCCTCTCTCTCTGTCTCTCCCTCTCTGTCTTCTCTATCCTCTCTCTCTCTCTCTATGACTATCACACACTTTCTCTTCAATGAAAAAATCTAATTGGTGGCTTATATTTTCAGCAAAGAATTTTGGGGGGTTTTGTTTGTTGGCAAAAGAGCTACTCAGAAATGGACAAAGACAACTCTGGGGGTTCTCCCCCTCCTGATTAAAAAGGGAGAAAGAAAACTGTGATTTTATAGCCGGAGATCTGAACCCAGCTGTGCCCCTCCGCCAGGGGCGTGAGGCTGATTGGCGAAGACGGGAGGAAAGATTTCAATTTCTGACTCAAGAAGCATTTTTGGTTTCAGATTTTTTTTTTTTCCTGTAATGTTAAACTCTTTGGCTTTAAGTAAAAATCCAAAAAGTTTTTTTAAAAAAGCAAAGGAAGCATACTTGTGAACTACCTTGCTAGCTAGCCAGCCAAGGATACCGGACACACCTCTGCTCCAAAGGAAATCCAAAAAAGCAAACACAAGAAATCAAAATCCAAAATTTGTCACTGCCAAAGTATGTTTTTCACTGTTTTACTTGCCCTTGGGTTTGTCTGGATGTGGGTCTTTTTCTCTTCTGTTTTGGTTTTGTTTGTGGGTGTCGGGATATTGGGGTGCAGAGGGTTGGTGTCATTTGCATGGGTATGGGATGTGTGGGATTGAGTTCAGTGTCCAGTAGAGAAGAGCAAGTTTTGTTTCCTTCAGGGGGTGGTCATCCTGTTGGTTTTGTTTGTGGGTGTCGGGATATTGGGGTGCAGAGGGTTGGTGTCCAGTGAGAAACGAGTTTTGTTCCCTTCCGCGTAGGCGTTGGTGCGTCTGCCGAGTGTGCGCGGTCTGTGTGCCGTCGCTGCGGCCTGCGTCTCCATGTGTGTAGGGAAGGACACGCCGTCTGTCCTCACGCCCCCTGTGACTTTTCATACTTCGTTTTTCCACTTGTGGAAAAAAAGTGCTAAAGTTTTCTTCCCAGAGAGAGCATAATTCCGAAACAAAACTGTGACAATCTTTTGGGTTGATTCTCGACTGCTTTTCAAGCACGCGGAGCCAGCAGGGCTCCCTGAAACACGGCTTCTCAGCCAGCCCGTCCTCCTCTACCTCTCTCCTCTCCGCGCCCTCCAACCTCTCTCGGCCCCATCGCCCCAACCCCAGCGTCTCACTGCAGCTACTCCCCTTTCTTCCAAACTTTTGCAGAAAAACAAAACAAAAAAACTACAAACAAAAGCAGCCCTCTGCCTCCTCCCCAGGAAAGACCCTGACCATGTACATAGCCCTGGTGCTCCTGCCCTGCCACCCCTCAGATGCGTTTGCCTCTGGCCCTGGGGTGTGTCTCGGTGACGTTTGCTATCAGACATGCTCCCTCCCACCTTCCAGCCCTGCCCATCCTCCCTCCATTCCTCTCAACTCCCTCCGAGATTTCAAGAAGGAAATAAAGGGATAAAGAAATTCACGCTTGCACCGAGTGCAAGGACAGACAACAGCAGGCGCGGCCCACGGCCTGGCATCTGTGTGCGCGGCTATCAGGAGTTCCAGGAACTCAGTGCAATACCGGAGTGACCCAGCTACTGAAGCGGCCGTGAACGGCCCGCGAGAGGCCCGAAGCCGAGAGTGTACGTTAATGTGAATGTATATAGTCTTTGCAGAGGTCCAAATAATATTCATGATGGTAATAAAGAAGAGATGTTTGCCAAATAAAAAAGAAAAAGTTAAGAGAAACGTGGGAGTTTGTGAAGTGTAGGAAACAGGTTTCCAAAGGAGTCTGAAGTGTGGCCCTGAGGGGAGCAGCAGTTTTACCTGCCGGTGGTTCCTTCACGGTGGTAAAAACTTCCTTCTTTGAGCATCGTAAGGATGGATCCCATCGGGCCACCCCCAGTCAGGTCCTGTCTGGAACCAAGCCTGACAACAGAAACCTCATTCTGAAAGTCAAGATAGATCGAGTGTGTCCTCCAGACAGTGCCCCGGCCCCAGCACCTGCACTCCTCAGTGACAGACCCAGCAACTCCCTGAGGTTTGCTTTCGTGGGTTTCAGAGAAACAAGGACCAGCCTGGGATTGGGCTCTCTGCTAAAGTGGCAGAAGCCCGTCTCTCCTTCCAGGGCTGCGGTTCTCCAGCTCCGAACCCACACAGTGGCGGTGGCAGCAGACACGCCCGTGCCCACGATGGGGACCTGCCTCCCCCAGAGGTAGGTGTCCTGGGACTCTTCTCATCTCTCTCCCACTGGGGCTCCATCTTGTTCCCACCCACACTGCAGTGCCCTTCCAGGTGGGCAGGGCAGTTGGCTGTGGTGATCAAAGGCTCTGGGGGACAGGAAACGGGCATGGGGCTGTGGGGTAAATTGAGTCAGGCCCTCCAAGGCTGTGTGGTCCAAGGCTGTGCGGGTGAACCGGTGGCAAGGGGACCCATGGGCAGCTTCCCTGGCACCGAGCCCCGGGGCACTCCTAGCACGGCAGAGCAAGGGAGCCATAAACACTTTAGCACAAACCCAGAGCAAAAGTTATAGAGCAGTCCCTAGCACAACAGAGGCAAGGACCATGGGCACTTCCCGTGCTTTGAGCAGGGAGCAAAGAGAGTTATGAGCAGCTTCCGTGGCAGCACTGAAGCCCAGGCAAAGGACCCATGGGCCTTCTGTAGCTGAACCCACCCAGGCAAAGAGACCATAGGCGCTTCACCGTAGCACTGAAACCAGGAGCAAGAGACCCATAGGCAGCTTCCATTAGTTCCTCTCAAGTCCCTGGGAGTCAAGACTGAGTAGGAAGTGTGAAAGGAGACACTAGTTTACTTTGTGGCGAACCGCCTCTCTTTCCCTCACCTCCCTCGATCTTCTTTTTGCAGGACCCCAGAGACGCCTTGCTCATAGCTGGCTGCATCAGTCACCTAGCCAGCAGCCTCAGGCCAGACCCTGCAGGCTCAGGGTGGGACAAGCCCTCCCACTGACTCTCAGGAGGGTCAGCCTCGAGCCAAGGATGAATGCCATCTGCCCTCAAGCCCAGCTTTCCCTGGCACCGAGCCCCGGGGCAAGGGGACCCATGGGCAGCTTCCGTGGCACCGAGCCCCGGGGCAAGGGGACCCATGGGCAGCTTCCGTGGCACTGAGCCCCGGGGCAAGGGGACCCATGGGCAGCTTCTGTGGCACTGAGCCACGGGGCAAGGGGACCCATGGGCAGCTTCCGTGGCACTGAGCCCCAGGGCAAGGGGACCCATGGGCAGCTTCCGTGGTTACTCAGGTCCCTGGGGTCAGGACTGGTGGGGAGTGTGAAGGAGACACTAGTTTACTTTGTGGGCGAAAGCCGCCTCTCTTTCCCTCACCTCCCTCGATCCTTCTTTGGGGACACACAGGGATAGCAGCACGCTCACCAGCTGGCTGCATCAGTCTGGCCAGCAGCCTCCAGGGGCCAGACCACAAGGCTCAGGGTGGGACAAGCCCTCCCACCCCAGCTCTCAGGAAGGGGTCAGCCCTCGAGCCAAGGATGAATGCCATCTGCCCTGCGTAGCTCCCCACCATGCACCAAGCCACCCCTGGCACAAGTGCACAAGCTGGCATGAGGACCTGGCCAGAGACCAGGCAGATGGAGCCCCACGGCCGACAGCCCCATGGAATCAGGACGGCTGGGAAAACTGAGGCCTGGAGACAAGAGGGGGATGTCCTGGGTGCGCTGTGTCAGGGACCCCTGGGCGGGTGTTGGCCGGGTCACATGAAGTAAGGCAGCTCCTCCCCAGGGAGGCTCTGGGGCCCCCTCCGATGCTTCAGGGGCCCGTCTTTCTGAAGCTGATATGCCCAGGCCCTGGTGGCCAAAGGCCTCACGGCAAACCAAGTGGAACCCATAGCTCTGGGGTGGGGACAGGGACAGGCGGCATTTTGTGTTTCCCCTTGGTGGCCATGAACACCCGTGCCCATGGTTCCGACCTGCAGTCTGCACCTGCGGGCATCTGCCTCTCTTCTGCCAGGCAGAGGGTGGTCTGGACACAGGGTCTGGGCAGGGGCCACACCTGGACTGGGGAGATCGCCCTGTCTCTGCCCTGTCTCTGCCCCCTGCCTGGCTGCCACCTCCACAAGTTCACAGATCACTGGCCAGAGATGCAGCCTGCCAAGCTGTCCTCCCGCCAGCCACCGTCAAGACAGGACCATGGCACGCCAGACGCTCTTCAGAGCCTCTTCCCCAAACCCCAAACCACCCCCACACGCCCCCCTTGCGTGTCCTGTGGCCACCCACACAGCCGTCCCTCCATCCCACCCCACCCTCTCCACCCACGGACCCGAGGACACCAGCTGCCCCCTGCTGTGTGCCAGTGACCTCAGCTGCTGCCCTAAGGGCACCTGTTGGTGGGCGGCAGCCCCTCCCGTACCCAGCCCAGTCCAGGACTGCTCGAGACACTTCCAGGGACAGATAAAATTCTGCTACAGGTGCTGTGAACAGATGGGACCAGCATCTTGCAACAGCTCTGGCCAGTCGGGGCCACCTGGAGCTTGAGGTGGGTGGCCGGGGGCCAGGAGCACACACTGGGTGGTGGCCCGTACACGTGCCTAGGGTCCCCGACCAGGGCGCCAGGGTGAGCACATTCCCCGGCAGAGCCGCGACGCTGGGGAGTGGGCTGCCCTCTCCCACTCCTTGTTTCCAGGGGTCAGTGCCTGGAGGGGGTGTCCTTAGGAGAGGAGGGTGGCCCCATGCAGCCTCCCCGAGCCCCCAGCACTCTTGGAGCCCCACTCCTCGGGGGGTACTCACAGGTGCCAGGCTCCCATCCCATTTCCTGGTTAAGAGTTGAGTCCTTACTGCCTGAGACTAGGGACTTCTGGGAACAGACCTGCCTGGATGAATTCTGCCAGGAGTGGTGGGTGCTCCCCAGGATCCTCTGCAGTCTCCATGCCCTGCACCCCCGAGTCCCAGGGGCCCATTTCCTCCTGCACTGCCCTACAAGCCCCACACTGAGGGGGCACTCTCTAAAATGGGGCTGGGGCCACAGCCCTGGATGATGAGCATGCTGGCTGGAGAGGAAGACAGTGAGGAGAGGGGGGAGTCCATGGGGCTGGTCTCCCACAGGTCCACTGGCGCCCGTGCACACTTCAGAGAGAAGGCCAGCGTGCTGCTGACAACCCTGCTCTGTTTTCCCAAAGTTCTAGGAAACTCCATTTTGGACACTTTCTGTTCTTTATGTTTCAATCCAGCCAAGCCCCAAGTAGCTTCCCAAAGACCCCGAGGAACAGAAAGTCAGTGTCAGTAGCCAGAGTGAAGCCTGCTTTTGAAATACATGAGGCCGGGCGCGGTGGCTCACGCCTGTAATCCCAGCACTTTGGGAGGCCGAGGCGGGCAGATCACAAGGTCAGGATATCGAGACCATCCTGGCTAACACCGTGAAACCCCGTCTCTACTAAAAATACAAAAATTAGCCGGGCGTGGTGGCGGGCGCCTGTAGTCCCAGCTACACGGGAGGCTGAGGCAGGAGAATGGCGTGAACCCGGGAGGCGGAGCTTGCGGTGAGTGGAGATCGCGCCACTGCACTCCAGCCTAGGCGACAGAACGAGTCTCTGCCTCAAGAAAAAAAAAAAAGAAATACATGAATGAGGGCAACAGGCCTCCCTTGTCCCCACCTAGACGGGGCGGGGAGCCCGGCCAGGCCATCTGTCACCTCCCCAACCCTATCTGCCAGAGCCAAGGGGGTCGGGCCGGTGAGGACTGGGCTGGGGCACAGCCACGTGCAGCCTGGTGCGGAGGGGACTCACTCTCTACTTCCTTCTCCTCTTTTTTTGACTCCCCCAAAGGAGCTGGACTGAGTATTGGGTGGTTTTCCTGTAGTTGTGAGAAGCCCATGCCCTGGGTCTGCAGCCTGTGCTGGGCTGCGAGGTGACCCCTGCCGCCCCGTCTGATGTACTGTGGGTTTGGCCTGTGGACGCTGTGAGACGCAGTGGTCCGGTTAGCGCCGTGTCCATGTAATAAAGCGAACGTTCACTGTCGCCTGGCTGTTAGTCTCCGTGGATCCCAGGAGGCTTCGGCTGAGCCTCGTCTCACCTGTGAATTCACTAAATACCTGCTGGGGCTTCTCTGTGCCCTGCAGGGACCGGGCCTCCCCACGAAGCACACACACTGCAGGGACGAACAGGCCAGTGTGTGACGTGGGGCTGGGGCGACAGGGAAGAGGCGGGGCGGAAGCACACGGGCGGGGAGGAGCGGCAGCCTCCAGCCACGAGGGCTCCTGCAGGGCTGGCAACGGCTGAGTCTGCAAAGGGGACATTTGGGGGGTCCCGACAACCTTACCCCTGGGAGATGGTCCTGAGGATTCCAAGACTGGAACCCCTGCCTGAGCAGCCCCACCTCTGACAGTGCTGGGGCTGGGACCATGACACCTCCGACCTCGATGGGGGACACAGGGGACCTCGGGGGACACAGACAAAACAGGAGGCCGGGCATGGTGGCTCATGTCTGTAATCCCAGCACTTTGGGAGGCCGAGGGGGACGGATCGCCTGAGGTCAGGAGTTTAAGACCAGCCTGGCCAATATGGAGAAACCCCGTCTCTTCTAAAAATACAAAAAATCAGCCGGGCATGGTGGCAGGTGCCTGTAATCCCAGCTACTCGGGAAGCTGAGGCAGGAGAATCACTTGAACTTGGGAGGTGGAGGTTGCAGTGAGCTGAGATTGTGCCACTGCACTCCAGCCCAGGCAACAGAGTGAGACTCCATCTCAAAAAAAAAAAAAGACATGAGGCCGGGCGCGGTGGCTCAAGCCTGTAATCCCAGCACTTTGGGAGGCCGAGACAGGCGGATCACAAGGTCAGGAGATCGGGACCATCCTGGCTAACCCGGTGAAACCCCGTCTCTACTAAAAATACAAAAAATTAGACGTGGTGGCAGGTGACTGTAGTCCCAGCTACTCGGGAGGCTGAGGCAGGAGAATGGTGTGAACCCGGGAGGTGGAGCTTGCAGTGAGCTGAGATCCGGCCACTGCACTCTAGCCTGGGCGACACAGCGAGACTCCGTCTCAAAAAAAAAAAAAGACATGAAAACTGAGGGGACACAGGGGACCTGAGGGTGGACAGCGCAGGCAGGGACAGCTCACCCCTCTCAGCCATCCCCATGGGGCCCTCATGTTGGGGCACACGCAGATCCTGTATGGAATAGGAGTTGGGCTGGGCGCTGGTGCCCCTGGGGCCAGGCTGCCATGAATCCTCAGGCCCGGCTCTGGAACAGGGTATATTTGAAGAGTGTCACTGGAAAGACCAGTGTCGGAGCTGTCTGTCCCCTGCCAGGCAGCTGGCAGGAGCCCTGGCCGGGCCTGGTGTGTCAGCAGTCTCAGACAGGGTGAGGATGACAAGGTTTTCCACAGCCGGGGCCCGAGCTCAGAGGGGTGTGTGTCAGGGCCTGGGCCGAGTCCGGCAGGCTCTGGTCTTGGACAGAACTGGCTGCGGTCCTGCCTCTCACAGGGAGGTGGAAGCACGGGTGCTAGCAGACCCTCTGCCACACGGGCACAGACACACGGGGTGGGGGGCCCTGTCCCAACAGGAGGAGCCCAGGTCGAGGCCACACTCCACCCTCATCTGGCCAGCCCTGGCCAGCACGCCTGTCCTTAGTGCAGATGTGGGCTCTGCCCCTGAGGAGCTTTGCTTTCTAAGGGGAGAACTGGGCAAGTCATCAACACTGGACAGACAGCAGGTAAGGCATGAGGACAGCCGCTCTCGAGGGAGGAGGAGCAGCCTGGCGGGCTTCCTGGAAACGGTGGCACCGTGCACAGGGGGAACAGTGTCCTGGGACCACGCACACGTGTGTGACTATGCGAAGCCAGGTAGAGGGGAAGCCGGGTCCAGACAAGGCCCATTCCTCCCGACCTCATGAGCCTGCCCCAGAAAATCCTCTGGGTGGTGGACAGATGGGGGGGCAGCATGGTCTTCAGTCAGCCTCTTGGAGGTGTGAAAAGAAAACAAAATTTCAGGACCTAAAACTCACTAAGCCAAAGAGAAAAGTCAAGCTGGGAGCCGAGTCACACACACCTGCCTCCCATTTTCTTCCTGAATGGACAGCTACGAAGATGAAGGAGCCCGGCCCCTCACAATGCACTTACACGGAAATTCCCTGTGGGCCCTGAGATCTTGGCTCTGAAACCGTTCTGCTGGATCCCACCCAGACAATGTGATCCCCCAGCTTATCTTCCCAGCTATGGGACAAAGGACAGAGCTAACATCACCCTCCACTCACCGGAGACAAATGTGAACCTGCCGGCTTCCTGTTCCCTGTGGCAGTTCTATCTTCTCTGGAAACGCAGGGTTGCTGAGCGTGGGGCTACATAATTCACTCCTCTACCCTCACCTTCCACATTTCAAAATGTGCATTTGGTGACTGCCAATCAGAGCTTCAAAGGAAGCCTACTGCTTGCCTCTTTTATCTGCCCTCCCTTTTCTTTCCTTCCCGTGTTCCCCTCCTACCTGCTCTTTCCCTTTAAATATAGGAGTCTCCAAACCCTCTTTGGGTTTTTTTGTTCTTGTTTTTTTGTTTTGTTTTTGAGACAGAGTCTCGCTCCGTCGCCCAGGCTGGAGGGCAGTGGTATGATCTCAGCTCACTGCAACCTCTGCCTCCCGGGTTCAAGCGATTCCCCTGCCTCAGCCTCCTGAGTAGCTGAGATTACAGGCGCCGCCACTACACCCGGCTAATTTTTTTTTTTTTTTTTTTTTGTATTTTTAGTAGAGATGGGGTTTCACCATGTTGGCCAGGCTGGTTCTGAACTCCTGACGTCAAGTGATCCGCCTGCCTCGGCCTCCCACAGTGCTGGGATGACAAGCGTGAGCCCCCGCGCCCGGCCCCCAAACCCGCTTTGGAAAAAGCAGATGTTTCCTGTGGCTTTGTGGTCCTTTTTCCTGGGTGCACCCTCAACCTTGGCCAGATAAACCTCTAACTGATGGAGACCCATCTCAGACACCATCTGGCTTACAGAGGTGAGAACAGAGTGGGTGCAGGAGCCTTGGTTCCCAGGCTGTGGCAGCCTCCATGTCACCACCTGCTCCCCCTTAGCCCCCAGCCCAAGGTGGAGGAAGGGCCACCCTGCGTGGATGGGTGCACGGTGCAGCAGTGCAGCTCCAGCCTAGGCCATGCCCTGTCTCTCTCTCCTCCCCCAATCCCAAATTCCCAGGAATCCCAGCCCCACTGGCTGAACACCGGGGTGCAGTCACAGAGAAGATGGCCTCGGCCTGGGGGTGGCAGCTGTGCAGGGCAGCCCCGTCCCCCACCACCAATGGCAGGCGTAAGAGCCATGCATGACTGCCTGGCCCCAAGAGTGGGTGGGAGACGGCATCACTGGAGACGGAGGCCAGGCAGACCCCAGCAGCCGCGCTGGCAGGTGGAGAGGGAGGCGCGAAGGCAGAGGCGGGTCACGTCCACGGAGTCCTCACCTCACAGGAACTCACACCACCACGCCCCACGCCACTCCCACAGAGCCCCCACCTCAGAGTAACTCACACCACTGCTCCCCATGGAGCCCCCACCCCACAGGAGCTCACACCATCACTCCCACCGAACCCCCACCCCACAGGAACTCACACCGTCACTCCCACCGAACCCCCACCCCACAGGAACTCACACCGTCACTCCCACCGAGTCCCCACCCCACAGCAGAAGATTTCTGGCTTCATGGAAATGGCTCCCATCTAAAAGATGACCCAGGCCAGGCACAGTGGCTCGTACCGGTAATCCCAGCACTTTGGGAGGCTGAGTCGGGCAGATCACCTGAGGTCAGGAGTTCGAGACCAGCCTGGGCAACATGGTGAAACCCCATCTCTACTAAAAATGCAAAAAAAAAAAAAAAAAAAAATTAGCTGGGTGTGGTGGCAGGTGCCTGTAATCTCAGCTACTCGGGAGGCTGAGGCAGGAGAATCACTTGAACCTGGGAGGCAAGGTTGCAGTGAGCTGAGATCGTGCCATTGCACTCCAGCCTTGGCAAAAAAGCAAGACTCCCGTCTTTAAAAAAAAAAAAAAAAAAAAAAAAAAAAAAAAAGACCCAGAATGAGGGTTAGGGAGGCAGCATCCCTGGGACTCCATGGGGGTCAGGATGCAGAGACAGCGGTTGCTGCCCCTCCTCTGGGCCCAGGACCCCGCCCCGACCTGCCTAGGCCCTCTCATCCTATGCACCTGCCCTCCGTCCCTGCTCAGACCCTTCCCTCCCCTGGGACTATCTCAGCCCCTGCCTCCCCTAGTCGGAAGCCACCTCCCCAGCCTGCTTGGACCCTGGTACCAGAAACAACCGCTCCTGTGTTCCCACTTGGATTGCGTGTTCATGCCGTGTGGTGTTTGTGCCGTGTGGATCTGCTGAGGTGTGAACCCTGTGATGGACCAAGGCTCCAGTGAGCCGCAGCGTGCCCAGGCGGAAGCAGAAGAGACCAGTGACCCCCACTCAACTCGTGACCCCCACTCAACTCAGCCTCTCCTTCCTCCAGAGAGAGTGTCCTGGAGGTACCTGTCCCAGTGACGGAAGGGGCGGGGCCCACAGCCAAGGCTGGAAGCTCAGCCCCCACTCAGCCTTTGCAAATGCTCTAGTGGGAGCAGCTGGCCTCAGGAGAGGGCTTAAAACTCCAGGAGGGCCCGGGCAGGTGCGGACGCGAGGGGAGCGGAGGGGAGACCTCGCCTGGCCTACCTTCCTCCTGCCCTTCTACCATGTGGCCCTTCCCAAGCCGCTCGCTCTTTCCACCCCCAACTCAGGCCTGGCTCCAGACGGTCTCCTCAGACCCAGAGGCCCAGGGCTGGGGGGCCTGGAACGAGACCAGGGAGACTCTGGGGCCAGAGGGTGGGGCAGGGAAGGAGGAGGAAGACGAGGCAGAGGAAGACCAGGATGGGGATGCAGGCTTCCTGTTGTCTCTGCTGGAGCAAGAGAACCTGGCTGAGTGCCCGGTGCCTGACCAGGTAACAGCTGTGTGGAGGTCCTGGGGCTCTCAGGGGACCTGGGGCACAGGGACTTGCGGAGACACAGGGTCTGGGTGATGGATGGCTGCAGCTGACTTAGGAGGGGAGAGGACCATTGCCCACCTGCCTGGAAGAAGGTGGCAAGGAGACCCCCGCTGCACAGACTGCGGAGTCAAGCTGGCGTCTCTGGCCTGCGGAAGGGCCCTTGAGGTGCAGTTTCGGGGGCTTCTCTGTAGGGGCGAGTTCATCACCCCAGGAAGGAGCGTCCCTGTCCAGAGAAGGGCTGCCCCTTGGGGCTGTGACCCTCTGCTGGAGCTGGCAGGCCGCACACCCACCTTCCTCGAGCAGAGCCTGCAGGCTGCCTGCCCCACTCAGCGCCATGTGTCGGCAGGAGCTGGAGGCCATCAAGATGAAGGTGTGCGCCATGGAGCAGGCCGAGGGGCCGCCATGGTCTCTGGGAGCACAGCACCAGGCCGAGGAAGAGGAGGGGCTGCCACAGCCTCCGGGAGTGCAGCACCAGGCCGAGGAAGAGGAGGGCACCACGGCCAGGCAGCTGCTGAGCCCTGAGGCCACGGGTAGGAACCAGGGACCCAGGCTGCCCCCCACTGAGCCAGGGTCCCAGAGTTTCCATGAGGGTTGGGCCTAGCAGGCTCCAAGGTGTCATCTCCCCTACAAACCTGGGCCACCTTCCCCGTGAGAGGAGTGAGGAAGGAGCCAAGGGCCTTCGGGCCTGAGCTGTGTTCTCCGCAGGCTGCCCCCTTCCTGGGACCCCCGAGGAGAAGGTGGAGGCTGACCACAGATCTGTCTACGTGGGCAACGTGAGTGGCAGGCAGGGGCCAGGGGGCGGGCAGCGAGTGGGGCCCCATCTCTTCCAGGGGGTCTGGTGCCCGGCCCTGGGCCAGGCTTGCGGGGAAGGGAGTCTGACACTGGGGACAGCCCTGTCCCCTCAAGGAAACGCTGGCCTGGGCACATGTTCCAGTTTTTCAACATGAGCTGGAATTCAGGATTGCACATGAAATCTCCACTTTTGAGAAGCTTTTTGAAAGGCTCCAGCCCTCCGGAAGGGAGCGCTCCATGTGAGATCTCCTTTCCTTTCTTCCCTCCATCCCCAGCAGGGGTATGGGGTAGAGGCCTGGGGCCATCCCTGCCCGGGGGCCCAGCCTTGGGGTTTCTTTCCCCACCTTTACCAAGAAAGCCCCGAGTCAGGGCCAGGCGTCTCCCTGACACGCGGCTCTGGGCCTGGGTCCAGGTGGACTACGGGGGCTCTGCCGAGGAGCTGGAGGCCCACTTCAGTGGCTGCGGGGAGGTCCACCGAGTCACCATCCTGTGCGACAAGTTCTCTGGACACCCCAAGGGGTCAGTGCAGGGCCTGGCGGGGGCACTGGCTGTGCGGACGGGGCCCAGCCTCATCCCTCCCCGTCCCTCCCCTCAGTTACGCCTACATAGAGTTTGCCACCAAGGGCTCCGTGCAGGCCGCCGTGGAGCTGGACCAGAGCCTCTTCCGGGGCCGGGTCATCAAGGTGCGCCAGTGCTCCCCAGGTCCAGGAACATGAGCACAGAGGGGCTGGCCCACTGGCCCTGGGACACACAGCAGCCCCAGCTGGCTCCTCTCTGCACAGTGCGTCTCGGGCACGGTGCTTGGCTGGGCCTGGACAGGATGTGGCAGGACCCTCGGACCTGAAGCTGGGTTTGGTCTGCCAGTGACATGGTGGGGAAGTGTCCCCTCTCGGGGCGGGAACCCCCTCTGCAGGGGTGCTGGCCATGACTGGGTGTCATATGACAGCTATGGTGGGCAAAGGCAGGGGGACCCTTTAGGCCCAAATGGCATCCTGAGCCTGCAGGTCCCCACAATCCGGTGTGGCGGGCACTGCAGGGACTGCGGGCTGGGTCTTAGCTGCCCCTGGAGGAGGACTAGGACTGCGGGCTGGGTCTTAGCTGCCCCTGGAGGAGGACTAGGAACAGGCCTTTGGTCCAGGTGCTGCCGAAAAGAACCAACTTCCCTGGGATCAGCTCCACAGACCGCGGGGGCCTTCGAGGACACCTAGGCTCCAGGGGGGCACCGTTCCCCCTCAGCAGCCTCCAGGGCAGGCCCCGGCTCAGACCACGAGGGCAGAACCGGTGAGTGGGTGCCTGTGGAGGCAGCCTGGGGACGAGGGCCATAGTGGGGCGTCGGGGCCTGGGAATCAGGGGCAGGAGGGGGTCCCTGAGCTTATTCCTCACGGGGCTGCAGGAATGTACCTGGCGGGGCCTGGGTGAGGGCTGGGGCTGCTGCATCAGCTAGGGGGGTGCTTTTTTTTTTTTTGAGACGGAGTCTCGCTCTGCCGCCCAGGCTGGAGTGCAGTGGTGCGATCTCGGCTCACTGCAAGCTCCGCCTCCCGGGTTCGCGCCATTCTCCTGCCTCAGCCTCCCGAGTAGCTGGGACTACAGGCACCCGCCACCGCGCCCGGCTAATTTTTTGTATATTAATAGAGACGGGGTTTCACCGTGTTAGCCAGGATGGTCTCGATCTCCTGACCTTGTGATCCGCCCGCCTTGGCCTCCCAAAGTGCGGGGATTACAGGCATGAGCCACCACGCCCGGCCGGGGGGTGCTTTTTGCAGCCTCTCTGCTGGGAGAGGTGACCTCTTCTTGTTCCCACCAAGACCCTTGGGTGGGCTGCAGCTGCCCCAAGGGGCTCTCCTGGCGCTGCCTTTCCCTTTCCTGGGACCATCCCAGGAGAGCAGCTAGGAGTCACCAGAAAGGGCCCCTGGGGCAGTGCCTGAGCAGTCAGGTGCCCTCCCTGCATCCTTATCCTGTTGTCCCCTGGGGCCCTGGGCCACCTCCCTTCCCCTCTAGAATGCCACTCACTGTGCATTCTCTCTCCGTGCAGGGCCCGTGGAAAATTCTCACCGTGGTTTTCACCGTATTAAAGGGAAGGCCTGATTTTGAGAGAGGGGCTGGGGGCTGGGTCAGGAGTAAACCACTTGGGCTTCATCCTGGGGCTGGGGCAGGGAGTAGGGCAGGGGTGAGGCTAGAGGAGAGGGGTGTCCGGAAGAGCAGCTGCTGGCCCCCACTTGGCCAGGGGATGGCCCACTAGGGTCTTGTATGGTGGCCCAGACCCACGGCCACAGCCACGAGTCACAGTCACGGCCCAGTGGTGGGCCTGGCACGGGCGCCACGGGGATCTAGGGGGGCTCTGGGCAGTGAGGTGGGGGAGAGGCAGAGGCCCAGGCAGTGCCAGGCCAGCTTGGGGTGGGCATGCTCGGCTCTTCAACTAAGTCATTTTAAGAAAAATAGAAACGTGTCTCTTAATGGTGAAGCATAAATTATTAAACTTGGGTACTTTTTAAAAGCAAATGGCAGCAGCACTCCTGTGCATTCCCCTCGTGGACACAGTTCCCTTTGCGTCTTCCCCTGGGACAGGACACACAATTCCCTTCGTGTCTTCCCCTGGGACAGGACATAGAAGGCGGCTGGTGGGCCATGGCTGTGGGAGGACAGGGCTCTAGACCCCTCACGACCAACAGCAAGCCGGCAGTGTGCACAGGCTGAGCCGGTGTCAACATCACTGCCAGCCTGGTGGGCTACGAAGGCCTGTGTGTCAGTCAAGGCGCCCCCACCCCATAACCCTGCCCTGGCACCACGTGTCCCCCACCAAGTGATCCAGACATCCGGGACGCTGGCCCTTGTCAGAAGCTCAGTAAACAGAAGTGGAGATCTCTGATCTCTGTCCTGGGCACTTTGACAACTGTCCCCTCTGAGAGCATGCACAGCTGCGGAGGCCCAGGTCTGCTTATGGGCACACATCCGACTCCAGCACTCCACGACGGACAGCGCCTCCCCTTCGTGCCCCATCGGGCTCAGTGTGGTAATTCCTGGAGCCCTGTGCAGACCAGCTCCTATTCAGTGGGCTGGCGCCCACCCACCCTCAGTCACCTTCCTCCAGCACCAGGCCAGGCGCTGCTCCCGGGAATGAGCCAACCTCCTCATTCCCACCTACACCAGCTGCCTCCCCAAACCAGCCCCCACCCCACCCCACCGTGGGGCCTTGTTCCCGCCTACACCGGCCTCCTCCCCAAATCCGACCCCACCCCACCCCACCCCACCCCACTGTGGGGCCTTGTTCCCGCCTACACCAGCCGCCTCCCCAAACTAGCCCCCACCCCACCCCACCCCACCGTGGGGCCTTGTTCCCGCCTACACCAGCCTCCTCCCCAAATCCGCCCCCACCCCACCCCACCCCACCATGGGGCCTTGGGTCAATGTTGGCCTCTGTAGTGGGGTGAATGATGCCCCCCAAACTGCGTCCATGTCCTGATCCCCAGACCCTGTGAATGTGAACTTCTCTTGAAAGGGTTTTTGCAAATGGGATTCAGTGAAAGGTCTAGAGATGGTCCTGGGTTACCTGCAGTCACTAAACACAACCACACACCCTAAACCCAACCACACACTGGTTACCTGTGGTCCCTAAACACCACACACTGGTTACCTGCGGTCCCTAAACACCACACACTGGTTACCTGCGGTCCCTAAACACCACACACTGGTTACATGAGACCAAACCCAACCACACACTGGTTACCTGTGGCCCTAAACCCAAACACACACTGGTTACAGAGACCAAGAGACGCTCCAAGACTGTGTGAGGACAGAGGCAGAGGCTGGAGCAATGCCGAGGATGACAGGGGCCAGTAGTGGCTGCAGAGGCTGGAGCAGACCCACCCCAGAGCCTCCAGGAACCAGCCCCAGCCACACCCAGCCTTTGGACTTCTGCCTCCAACATGGGGCGGAAACACATTCCCGGGGTTTGAAGCCCCTCCATGCGGTGCTCTGTTACGGTGGAGGCCTGGAGACTGGGCTCTCTGACCTAATTATAGGGATACCCGACCAAGGAGCCGCCATGGCCCTCCAAGATCTGTCCTGATCTTGCCTGAGGTCCACTCTGGGGCCCCAGGCTCTGTGGTCTGTGAGCTGCTCTGCCCAGGCCTCTGCTGGTTTGCCGGCGAGTCTGGCTTCAGGGTGGGCTTGAGGGGGCTGTCCCAGCTTCAGAGTGAGAGCCAGGCCTAGCCCAGAAAGGAGGTCAAGCTGCCCAGCCACCCAGGGCGGGGCCTGGTGCGGACTGCTCACAGCTGGGGGCTGCAGGAGGGGCCTGAGGCAAGCACAGCACTTTGCAGATGGCAGCCCCTGACTGCTTAGTACCCAGAGCCAGGGTCTGGCCCTCAGCGAGGGTTCACTGCTGGCCTTGACGCAGGTATCACGCCCATGGGTGTGTCAGGTCCCTGGCTGTTCTAGCCCATGTCGCAGGTTAGTTCCTGTCCATCTTCCGCCTTCTGTGTGGCCACTGCAAGGAGACGGCGGAGTGAGCCTGGGGAGTCCCTCCTTTCTTGTGGACTTGACACCTGAACAGGCCAAGGTGGAGGAAGACCTGGGAACCCCTCAGCATGGCCCTTCCAGGTGATGAGACCCTGGGCCGTGACCTGCAGAGGCCTTTGCAGCTGCGTCGAGGCGGCGGATGCTCTGGCTGGCTCAGGTGGGCAACTAACAAGAACAGGCTCATCGTCCCCTGTCTGCGGCAGAAGGAAAGAGGCAGTATCGTCGCTGCCTGATGGGGAGGAGGGGCTGCCCCACATGGTGTCCAGCGGAAGTCGCCTGGGGTCGAGGAAGGAGTGGGCAGGAGGGCTGTGGCCCTCCATGAGGCCAACCCCAGGGTGGAGACAGCACGAACCTGCCACGTGACACTTCTGCTGTCAGATCAGAGGTGAGCACATGACTTGTTTCCTTGGACTTAAAATGGGGATGGTGCCTTACAATGCTTGTGAAAACTCCCTAATGTAAAAAGTTCTTACAGGTGAGTCTGGCTACGCCTAACAGAAAACCCAAATAGCAGTGATTTAAACCAGAGAGGGGTGCGTTTATTTTCTCACATTTAAAAAAAGCTGAACTTAAGTAGTCTGGGGCTGGTACGTCAGCAAAGGCCCAGGATCCTTCCCGCGTTCTGTGTTAGCAAAGGCCCAGGGTCCTTCCCGCGTTCTGCCTCAGCAAAAGCCTAGGGTCCTTCCCGCGTTCTGTGTTAGCAAAGGCCCAGGGTCCTTCCCGCATTGTGTCAGCAAAGGCCCAGGGTCCTTCCTGCGTTCTGTGTCAGCAAAGGCACAGGTCCTTCCCGCATTCTGTGTGTAAGGCCCAGGGTCCTTCCTGCGTTCTGTGTGTCAGCAAAGGCCCAGGGTCCTTCCCGCATTGTGTTAAGCAAAGGCCCAGGGTCCTTCCCGCGTTCTGTGTCAGCAAAGGCCCAGGGTCCTTCCTGCGTTCTGTGTCAGCAAAGGCACAGGTCCTTCCCGCATTCTGTGTCAGCAAAGGCACAGGGTCCTCCTTCCTGCATTGTGCATCAGCTCCACTGTCCTCAGGGTGTGACTCCTTCTCTGCTCTCAGGACAGCTGTCCCAGCTCCAGCCATCACATCCATGTTCCAGGCAGGAAGAGGCAAAGGAAGGGCCCTGCCGTAACAGCTGAGCCCCCTTCACAGGAGCTTCCCCGCAAGTCTCTACTTTCCACCACCTCCATGCCACAGCTGCACACCCCCAGGCTGCGAGGAGGCCAGGACACGGTTCTCATCTGCCCACTGTCAGAACCGTGCAGAGGCACCGGAGTTCTGTTAGTAGGGAGGAAGGAGAATGGATGCTGGGTTAGCAACATAGTCCCCACCACAGCCAGGACTCCAGGCAGGAGCGATCCCCACTAAAAAGGCAAAGATTTCACTGGGCGGCAGTGGGGAGGTGCTAGGTGCTTGGGCTGGGGTCCCACCTTCTAACAAACATGAGGCTCTTGTTAAAGATTTAACCCTGTGAGGGTGGCCTGTGGCCGTGCCCTCCAGACCAGCTGCCGGTGTGCCTCGGCCCACGCCAGGACTTCCCAATTCACCCTGGGCGGGAAGGCCTGGGGCGTGTGGATTTTCACACACTCCTTGCTGATTTCTTCTTCTGTAATTTATAAAATTAACACTGTGCTTGCTGGATGCTGAGATGAAAGGCAAATATGTATCGAGAAAGTTCCCTCCTGTGTCTGCCCCAGGCTGACCCCCTTACAACTTTCCTGCCAGGCGCTCCTGGGGTCTTCAAGGTCCTTGAGAAACTCTCCAGTCCTGGACCAGTGCTGGAACCAGCTCTGCTGGGAGTCCTCTCAGCTGCCTGAGCCTCGGCTGCTGGACCCCAGGATGCCGGCGGCTTTGAGGCACCACTATGGGCTCGCGCTGCCTGGGTGGTAGTCAGTCATGTCATCAGCGACACGGCACCCGAACCCCTCAGCACCAACAGGCAGGAAGGGCGCCTCAAGTCTGCACTCCAGGGCTTAGGATGATGGCTGCAGCTGAGCCAACGCCACGGGGCCACAA